CCAAAAGCAAAACCACAGATGAAACTTCCTTATCTTCTCATGCTGTCCCAGCAAAGAAGACTTGTACTGAAGGCAGTTCACACATTCAGCTGTGATTCCTTCAGAGTTCAGTAACTGAGTAAAAATGAGTGCAATTCATGCACATGTGAAATCACAGGGGGGATATCTTTTGCTGAATGATGTGCTGAAACTCCCACAAGATATACTTGAGGAAAGGGGTCACAAGGAGTGGCATATTATTTAAAGGATGCATGATGGAACCAAGGCTCCTCCCATCTTTGTTAAGGTTACAAAGTAGAGGCTGGCCTGTGACAAAGTGAACCTGCTCTCCCCCCATGCCAGTTTTTCATAACAAAGACATCCAGAACGTGTGGCTTCACTGTGGCAGGTATAATAGTTTCTGACAGAATAAAATCCATCATGTTATAAGACCAGACACTATCCTGCCCATACCCCCATGAGGACATACTTCAGAGGCAGCAAGATGGGTGCAGATTTAGAAGGCCACCTAGTCCAAGAACATTGAGGAGAAAGGTCATCTTCACCTGCATGAACCACATTGTGTGCGTGCGTTGGTAGCAGCAGTATAGGGTGAAACATCTCATGCACTGACAAGGAATAAGTACATCTGGTCCCAAGATGAGACCAATCTGGACTGGATTCATGCACAGAGTTTTTGCTGTGGCATATGATGGATTTTTTCTCAACTATGTTTTATCCAACCCTCCTATGTACAAGCACAGGACCACACATACTTATTTATTGGTAATCTCTTTTCCAGAATAATATCCAGGCAAAATGTGCAGAGGCGCTCCAACCAGTAGAGGGATTGTTGCCAGTAGAGGGATTGTTGCCGGCAGACGGATTGTTGCCGGCAGAGGGACTGTTGCCGGCAGAGGGACTGCTGCCTCTTCCAGGGAATCCATGATGAGCGTTGAAGCTGTTGATTGGTCATGAACGTGATTCCATTTTGCTGAGCTTCATTCTGCAGAAATTTATTAAATCATTCGCTTCAAGATTTATCCCTTTAAAATGATTCTCTTTAAAAAGATTATGAATTTCCAGTTTCTTCTTTTCAGTTCACTAAATGTTAATAAAGAATAGCAGGTCATGGGTTTTCATGTTTTATTTTTATTGAGAGGTATGTTGGCTGAATCAATGCATTCTATTCATATTTTACTCTCCTGCTAACCACCCGGAGTTACAGAAAACATCAGAACTAGATAAACTCTCTTTGTTTCTGTAAGGTTTTGTCCACACCAGCACACCACCACTCTGCTCAGTTATATTAGCATGATTCAGTTTGTCTCTTGTTCATAATAAAAATAAAAATTAATTGGATTACTGGGATAAATATAAATTAATGGTAAGGTGAGAAATGACTTCTGCTTTCCTTGAGACCAGCTCCTATGCAAGGCTGTAATCCTGTGTACTCTTGCTTGGAAGTAAGTCCCACTGAACAATGGGTCCAGATTTAGACCTATTGAAATAAATGGGGCTTAAGTTAGTCATGTCTTGCCCTGTTAATTTCAATGACAGGGTTTACATTACATGCTAAGCTACTGTGGCTTCAAAGGCACAGTGGTTTAGCATGTTGACTGAACCCAGCATGTTGTAGAGGTTTGTAATCATCCTTGGGTTTGATGTGCCATCTGAACCTGGACAAACAAAAAGTTCAGCTGTAGCCCAACACCCTACAGACCCACCTGACAAGACAGGCAGAAGGACTTACTACTCTGGCCAAGTGGCTCTGGGCAAGTGCCTCAGACAGCCTTGCCAAAGTGCCCAGGCAGTGCATGGCGTGGCTGTCAGAGGCTCCCTACGCCAGCGGAAAGGGTGCAGGACAAGCCGCGTTCTGATCGGCCTGCTCTAGGATGGCGTTTGAGCAGGCTGGTGCACAGCAGCACGGCCAGTTGCTGCCAGCCCTGGCAGAGAGGAGCTCTTTGCGAGGAGTACTCCACTGCCAGAACTGGGCTGCCAGGCAGCATGGCAGCAGAAGCCATGTCCTTCTTGGTCTCCTCTTTCTGCTGCCCACCAGGCCTACCCCAGCAGAGAGGATTGGCAAATGGGACTAGTGTGGGCAGTACATGGCAAATACCAGTGGCATTGTGCCATCTCTGCCAGCCAGGCCATGAGGGAATATCTGCTTGGCCTTGTCATGCATGCAGCAATGATGGACAGGAGCACTGTGAGTGGAGAGGAAGGCTCCTTAGAAGCTGGAGTGAAGGTGCCCTGCTCTTGTTCATCATCACCGCACACATGTGGCAATGACAAACTGGAACAGGGCCACTGGGGCTTTTCTGCTAGTGGTGGGACCTCAGCCCTCCCAGTGTCTCCTGGGATACCTACAGGAAGACCAAGGAGGTGGCGCTGAAGCCACAGTGTGCCCAGTCATCTGGCCCTGGAGCAAATAAGCCTCACTATGTGGTTTGTTCCGCAGTATGTGCACCCTCAGTGGAACTATTCTAACCATGACAAAGTTGGCATCCACCCAGATGAATTGTTTTGAGTAAATATGCCTAAGATCTGGCCATATAATAGAAAATGTTGGCTGGGTTTGCACAATACAATCTTTGAAGCCTGTGCAACTTAGTGTGCTGTGATGGTTTTGTCAGGCTGGTTTAAGTTTGGCTTATGAGCTATTTTGACAAGTCATGGCCTATTATTGGGTTTGGTTACCTCACAATGACTTACTGTGTCCCAAACCCAGATGAAGACATAACACATGCTGGGACAAGCCAAACTGCTAAAAAGCCACTTCTAAAGTGACCAAAGGAGGGGGGGGGGGTCATCTTGGCCACTCAATCAGTGGTTGTTGAATGTACATGCAAATTCAAGTAACAGCTAAAATAGAACATATTATGCAACAAAGCTTTCTCGTATTCTTGCATGAAATACAAGAACAACATACATGTTATGTCAGTCACTACTGAATTACTTGGTCAACCTAAGTAGTCACCCATTCTGTTATTATTTGTACAGAATGGTGTTATCATTCTTACTGGGGGGGGGCGGGGTAGGAATTGCAAAGTGTACCTTCGTACTTTCCAACATTTCATGTCAGAATACATGGATATTCCTTTATATTTCCAGAGGCAGAAGTGTTGATCTTTTACAGCAATAACAATAAAATATCTTCCAGTATTGCAAAGACCAATGGATTTATTCAAGTATAATTCTGTTGATTCATCTGATGACGTGTGCACATGTGTACAAAACCTTATAGTACAATAAATCAGTTAGTTTTTAGAACTGTGCATTGTTCTTGTACACCAAGGACCTTGCTCGGAAGAACGCTGGTTGAGCAGCTCTCAGGCGGCCATTACACACTAACAAAACATATATATAAATCCCTTCCTGCTCCTTGCATTCAGTTGCACAGACTGTAACAGGATATAACATTTGAGGCAGGGAACAGCAAAGCTGCTGGCTTTTTCTTTCTTCCCTTTTAAAGCAACAACTTTCAAACATTTCATCTCAGGGGTGAATCTGCAACTAACTTGTTAAAAGATTGTTGCAACTAGAGAAAATCCTCTTCCTCGCATTTCTCCCTGCTTTGGGGGTTCTGAATTACCTGGTCAGGACACGGAGCAGTATCAGTGCGTTAGTTAACTCTCAGTCTGAGAAAGCAAACCCTCCATATGCCCTCTTCTGCAACTTTGTTCTTGCTCATGGGAGTGCTGTAAACAGGGAGACTGGGAAAATCCCAGGAAGCTGCCGAAGGGTTTCAGCTTCTGATAAATCTTTTCCTTTTCATAGTTTGGATTTCTATGAACTGACCAGAGCATGCTGGATCTTTTTGCAACTCTCAAAAAGAATCAGCCTCTGTGAAAACTTGTATGCAATAATGAGGATTTGGAGGGGTACCTAGAAGCTGATGAATAGTACAGGATTCAAGAATGAAATGATACAATTTTAGAATACAAATATGGCTATAAATCTAATTTGGGAGAAAGTGATCTGGATTTTCCTATTTATGTTAATTCATTCTTTTGCTGTATGTTACAATGCTAACATTTTAATAAGTATGCCGTTTTGAACATTTGTTTGGATGGGTGGTGACTATGGACGAATACTCACTGCAGCATAAATGAAGTGATGAAACAAAAAATACTGTATTGATACTGGAGACTAGAGAACTTTTCTTTATAATTTGGATGTCTTTCCTGTTTTAAGCAGAAGCAAACACACTGAACCTCTATGACCAGTGAATATAAAAGCCCGATCATATTGTTCAAGTTAGAAAAATGCAATTACTTGTGACTTAATTACATTTTCTTTGTCACATTTCTAGATTTATGGTTCCAAATCCAGATTTCTTTCAGAAGGCAATGCAAGTCTAAATTAGAGTTTGTCTCCTCTGTCTCACCCTTACATATTTTATCTCTTCACGCCTTCCTAAAATAGCATTTAAAAGGCCCTGCACACAATATGTGAATTAAAGTCAGTCTTCTCGAGTAATGAACAGGATCTGACCTAGAGACGGACATTTTAGGAAAATGCCATGGAGGATCAATTATTAAAATAGTAGCATTCTGAATCTACGTAGCATTTGCATCACTGAACTGAACAGCATCTAACTTCTGCCTTACAGTGTACTCTAAAAAAGTTTTCCATGTATCTGTCGGCAGATCAGTGTGGTTTATAGTTACTTGACATGGTCTACTGCCACCTATTTTTATTCTGACAAGCAGTAAGCTCATTTAGGCTGTGAGTATGTAAGGAGCCCATTTTCACCCAGTAAGCTCCAAATCTTTTTACTCATAGTCTGACACTCTAAACAGTACAACAGATGGGGAAATTAGCTGGATGTAGGTTCTTCGTATTGTTAAAGATCACTTACCCTAGCAATACAAACAGGCAATTCAGATCCAAGGCTCCTTGCTGTCTTCCCCCACAATGAGACACAGAAATTGCACTAAGATCTCTAGCAGAGCATAACATTTATTAATAAAAGGAAAAGGTACACATATTTAAAATACATTTTCTTCTTGCACAAAAATACCAAACAATACCAAACTGTATCTAAAAGGTATCAGCATCTCTTGAAAGTAGATGGTACAGACTTGCCACCTGGGAATGGGGGTGAGTTCCACACTGCAGAACTAGTACGCTTGAAATATCGTGGCTTGCTCTTATAGAAGATTTCTTCCAATTTGGGACTCTTCACAACTCCAAAAAGCACTTTTGTGTCAGGGGGATGATAATATTGATGTATGATTGCTTGGCTTAGTTGATTTCCTAGGGGAAAGAAAAGAACAGATGTACTAACTGCAAGCAGGGGTTAGTTATCTGAGACAGATATAGCTTTTTAGAGGTTTTATTGTCAGCAGCAGGAATTCCCAAGGAAGAATAGGACAGTTTGGAGGATGGATTTCCTTTTTTCTCTCACGGTCACTTCAGCAGAGAAGGCTTCTGCAACAATCATGAAGACAGCTCCAGTTCTTTCAGAGAGACTGTGAATGTTTGACTGAGAATTTATTTGACTGCAGCCAGAATTGTCCTGGCTTATCACTGGAAAAATCCTTCTATCCCTACTGTTGGAAAATGGCAATTAAAGTGGTGGAGGCTGCTTGTACAGGTAGAACTTAATGGACTTTGTTCACAGGAGAAATTGGCCCTCTTTAATTATTCACTGGACTCAGTTTTATGGAGTGGAAAGGCTGTACATCAAATATATTAATGTCATTCTTTTATACAATGTATTTTATATAAATTTTAGTTTTCTGTATTAATAAAAAGTTATGCACACATTCCAAACAGGCACGAAACAAAAACACCCACTTTCTAGTACTTTCCTCAATTGTATTTAGGAAGTGTTCTTTCTTTTCCAAGTACAAGAGCAGATCTTAAACCCTTGCATTTAAAGGAAACTATATCAAAGGCCCTAGATGCATGAATATTTAATGTTTGTATTCTTAGTGAGTGAGGTCACAATCATCAGGATGAATACTGATACTGGGTTAGATCCAGAGTTGGCTGTTGGCATGGAATGTACTCTGGAGGCAGAATTCCCTTCCTCCGGGCAAACACCCACACATCCTCCAGAGCAAATATAAAGCACATGTTGGAGCTGTGCTAGAACAAGAGGAAACCCATTGTGCAAGCTGAAGTTTGCTGATGCAATGTTTATTATTTTATTTATATGCTGACCCTTATAGCCCAAAGGGCTCTCTGGGCAGCTTACAATAAAAACATGAGCAGACAATAAAACAGTAAAATGAGACAATAAAATCAAGAGTATAAGAATAAAATCCATTAAAAATATCAAGTTGATATTCATGGAAGAACATAGTGAATGAGCACCAATAAACAGAATAATAACCAAATTGGCTACTAAAAACGTGTTAAATAAGAAAGCATTTACTTGGTGCTGAAAGGCAAGCACTGATGGTGCCAAGCGCACTTCCTTAGGGAGGGTGTTCCATAAGTGGGGTGCAATTATGAAGAAGGCCCTTCTCCTAGCCATTTCCCCCTTCACTTCATCGGGGGTGCAGAAGGACCTCCAACAAAGATCTTAGTGGTCTAGCAGGAATATATGGAGACAGACATTCCCCAAGCTCTTTAGAGTTTTGCACGTTAATGTCTGCACTTTGAACTGGGCCTGATCTACAATAGGCAGCCAATGCGCATGGATAACTGTGGCAAGACTTCACCCATCTAAGTAGGAATGTAGCTGAGATCAGCCTGCGCTGACAGAAGGTGCTCCTGGCCACCGAGTTCACCTGTGAGAAAAATGAGAACTCAGGGTCCAGGAGCACCCCCAAGTTACAAACCTTTAAGGGGAGCCTGACCCTGTTCAGGACAGGTTGAAAATTTCCCTGTTGGACAGATGGTGTGTCCACCAGCAACACCCCCATTCTTGCCTGGATTGAACTTCATCTTACTGGCTCTCATCCAGTCCATTATCAAGCCCAAGCACTGGTTAAGAACAGTCACTACCTCACCTGGATTAGATGAAAATGAGAGGTAGAGCTAAGTGTCATCTGCATACTGATAACACATCACCCCAAGCATTCATATTACCTCTCCCAGCCATTTCGTGTAGAGGTTAAAAAGCATGTTAAAACCAGTTAAGACCCTCAGAATTAGATTTAATTTTAAGCAAACCTGGCTAGGAACTGCTGTGGGTCACACCTTGTTTTCCACTGTCAGAATAAGGTGCTTCCAGGAAGTTGTCAAGGACAACTACCCTCTCGCACTCTTGCCCGCAGAAACTGCTGCTCGATGGCATACTGCTTCTGAGCTACTATCAAACAGCAGTTGATAGATATATCCTTCATGAACATCTATTCCCTTTAAGAGCCATCGAAGATAACAGTCATCATAACATTTAATTAGAAACGTATTCCACACATATAAGGAATAGTGGGCCACCATGTAAATCAAAGTACTTAGATGGATTCAAACATACCAGTAGCCCAAGCAGGAATGGGTTTGCGGGGCTGGCTCTCATCATCAGTTGAATCATCACTGTTCAAATCCATCCCATAATTATTCAAATCAAGCTTGGGTTGTTTGGGGCCTTGTGGTGTCATCTGATATGAATTACAGGCAAGCGAGCTCTGGAAAGCAACGTAAGGGGAAATACACATCACTGGATTTGGAAGCAAATTAGATTAGAGAAGATGTAGCAATGTGTTATGTTATATTTTAGGGAAGATTCTATTATTTTTCAGAAGAGTAATTCAATTGTTCAGACAATAGGTACAAGCATCTATTTTCTCAGTTACAGAGGCATCTTTTCAATAACTGCAGTGAAATCTTTACAAATGTGCCTTCTATTAGAGACATCATTGTGGTAGTCTCTACCCACACTCCTTAGAGTAAGCACTTACTAGAAAGTAGAATTGACACAAGTCATGTGGCATAAGATTGCCCAAAGCAAAATTTTCTTATTTCAGTGCCACTGATACAATTAACTTATGTTTCCAAAAACCTACAGAAGTGCCAGCAGGTAGATATACAGCAGTTTCCCCCCAATTTTTTTATGCCTAAATGTTCCAACTGTATTAAAACAAAAGAAACCCCGTTTTTAGCACGTCTCCCCTTTTCTCTTTGAAATGTGCTTTCTGCTGCTACAACTAGTAAACTAGGAAATGCTGCATACCTTAGAGAAAAGCAGAGATGCTAGAATTTTTAAAACTCTGCTATACCCTTGTGAGGATAAAAAGTTACTAAGGATAAAATAAGTAAAAGCTATTAGGTAATAAAATATTCCCACTGGGTGTGGGTGTATTGCATTTTTCAGGACCAAAGAGCTGCTCTTATTTCACTTAATGCAGCAGGATTAAGCCAAGTGTGTGTGGCATTGCTGGCACTGGATGTCACTGTAAGAATTCAAAAGGCACAGCGGGCAATGTGGTTGGCTGCCTAAGCCTGTGGTCTGAAGGACTGTATCACATGCTCCCCTGCCGGTCAGAGTAGCCACGATTACTATTACTCTTCAGACCTCTGTCCTCTGTCATTCAGAGCTCACCTCAACATCCATAGTCACATTCAACCGTACAGGAGCTGTTACTGCTGTCGCTTCCAACTCTTTTAGCTGCTGCTCCACGTGCTTCCGTTGTTCCTGCTTAAGAAACAAAAGCTGTTACTGCTGCCGTTTCCAACTCTTTTAGCTGCTGCTCCACGTGCCCCACCTCCATCCGCGCCGCCCGGAACTCGCTGCTGCTCCGTCGCCCGCTGCTGCCGCTGCTGCGCCAAAACCAGGACCACCGGCCCAGGCCCCTGCTCCGGCCCACTTCCCCCGGCATGTGTGAGAGACGCACCGGGACAGGGTGGGCACGGGGAGGGGCCCTGCGGCCTATAAAGCACTGGTGGCATCTGGGGCAGGCAGCTGAAGGGCGACAGCCTAAGGGTGGTGATGCCGCCGTTTGGGGGCCGAGCGGAGGGCTGGGCTGGCCGGGGGCTTTGGTGGTTGGCTTTGGTTTCAGTTGTGGGCTAGCAGTGGATTAAGTAGGATGTTTTTAGTAATTTTAATTGTCAGATTTAGGTTGCTTTTAATTGGTGCATCTCGTGCTTTACTATGATGTCGCCTGGGAAGCGTGTGGGCCCCGCCATCGGGGTGGTGATGGGCTATGGATGTTATGGTGTTGGGGGTCTAACGGGTCTGCATAGAAGAAGGAGGGACAGATGGTTAACACCTGTCCCTCTTTCTGGTTATTCCCCCAGCCGGCGGGTTCCAGGTAGACTTGTCAGCTGCCCCCCGGGCCTGTCGGTGCTGCTGCTTAATGCCAGGTCAGTCCAAAATAAGGCAACACTCGAGAGGGCTGACCTGGCTTGTATCACAGAGACCTGGGCGGGTGAGTGGAGGGGATGTCGCCCTTTCACAACTGTGCCCGCCCGGGTACCTGGTCCAGCACCGACCACACCTGGAGGGGAGGGGACCACGCCTGCTCTGGTTTATCGAGCTTCTATTTCCCTTGTGGGGCTTTCTGTCCTCTCGAGGCCGGGGCTGGAGTGCCTCCACTTGGTGTTGGGCGACTGAGACAGACTGGGGATTCTGTTGGTGTACCGTGCACCCTTCTGCCCAACAGACTCCCTGCCTGAGCTGATGGAGATCGTCTCGGACCTGGTGTTGAAGACTCCCAGGATGTTGGTCCTGGGGGACTTCAATCTCCATGCCGAGATGGTTCTAACCGGGGCGGCTCAGGACTTCATGGCCTCCACGGCGGCCATGGGGCTGTCTCAACACATCAGTGGCCCGACCCATGAACGTGGACCTGGTTTTCTCGATGGGGCAGGAAGAGGGTGGTCTGAGGGTGAGGAATTTATGCTTGACTCCCCTGTCATGGTCAGATCACTTTCTGGTGAGGTTTGTGCTTGAGAGCGACCTCTCCCTCTGTAAGGTGAGGACCAGATTGTATTGGTCCGCCCCCAGAGTCGGATGGATCCTGATGGATTCCTGAAAGCTCTGGGGGATTTTCCAGATGACACGGCTGGTGATCCTGTCGATGCCCTGGTTGAATTGTGGAATGGGGAGATGACCACGGCTATTGACACGATCGCTCCCAAGCGTCCTCTCCCACCTGGCAGAGCCTGTTCATCTCCTTGGTATACACCTGAATTATGGGCAGTGAAGCAGGTTGGGAGACATCTAGAGCATAGGTGGAGGAGATCACGGGGTGAATCTGACCGAACACACTTAAGAGCCCATTATCAGGCCTATGCTGTGGCAGTGAGGATGGCGAAGAAGAAATTCTTCTCTGCTTCCACTGCCTCCTCACAATGCCGTCCGGCGGAGCTCTTTCAGGTGGTGCAAGGGCTGATACATCCAGGCCCAAAGAAAGATCTCATACCACCCTCAAAGGCCCGCTGTGACGACTTTGCCAGGCATTTCAGGGAGAAAATCGCTCAGACTCGTCACAAGCTTGACTCTACTATTGAACCAGATTCTACTGAGATGCCAATGGCGCCGTCGAGTCCACAATTAATGGATGAATTTCAGTTGTTGCGGCCTGATGATGTGGACAAGGTGCTTGGACAAGTACGCCCTACCACCTGCTTCCTAGACCCATGCCCATCTTGGCTACTTAAGAAAGCCAAGGACGGGATTGGGACCTGGATCCTAGAGGTGGTCAACGCCTTTTTAAGAGACGGTCGGGTACCTTCCTCTTTAAAAGAGACGGTGATCCGGCCAGTCCTAAAGAAGGCATCCCTGGATCCAGAGGTGGCCGCCAATTATAGACCAGTGGCCAACATCCCGTTCCTGGGCAAGCTGCTAGAGCAGGTGGTGGCGGGACAACTCCATGCATTCTTGGATGAAACTGTTTATCTGGACCCATTTCAGTCCAGCTTCAGACCTGGGTATGGCACTGAATCTGCCTTGGTCACCCTGTACGATGACCTGTGCAGGGAGAGAGACAGGGGGAGTGCGTCCCTGTTAGTTCTCCTGGACCTCTCAGCGGCTTTCGATACCATCAACCATAGTATCCTTCTGAATAGGCTAGCAGGATTGGGAGTTGGAGGCACCGCATGGCGGTGGTTCTGCTCCTATCTCAATGGCTGATTTCAGAAGGTGGTGCTGGGGGACTATGGCTCTGTGCCATGGCAGCTATGCCATGGAGTTTCGCAGAGGTCCATTTTGTCCCCCTTGCTATTCAACATCTACATGAAACCGCTGGGAGATGTCATCAGGAGGTGTGGGCTGCGGAATCATCACTACGCTGATGATACGCAGCTCTACCTCTCGTTTTCCACCAATCCAAGTGAGGCAGTGGCTGTGCTGAACCGGTGCCTGGCCGAGGTAATGGGCTGGATGAGGGCCAATAAACTGAAGCTCAATCCAGACAAGACGGAGGTCCTGTTGGTGGGTGGTCTAGGCCTCGGGATGGGGGACTTGGGCCTTGTCCTAAATGGGGTTGCACTCCCTCTGAGGGACAGGGTTTGCAGCTTAGGAGTGCTCCTCGACCCTCAGCTGTCTTTAGAAGCTCAGGTGATGGCGGTGGCAAGGAGCGCTTTCCTTCAGCTTCGGCTGATCCATCAGCTGCGTCCCTTCCTGGAGAACGACTGCCTGGCGACAGTGACACACGCGTTGTTAACTTCCCGATTAGATTTCTGCAACGCGCTCTACATGGGGCTACCCTTGAAGATGGTCCGGATACTTCAATTGGTGCAGAATAGAGTGGCCAGGCTGCTGATGGGGACTGGGTGTTGTTCTCAGATAACCCCAGTTCTCCCTCAGCTCCACTGGCTCCTGATTGAAGTCCGGGCCCAATTCAAGGTGTTGGTTATGACCTATAAAGCCCTTAACGGCTTGGGTCCTGGGTATCTAAAGGAACGCTTGTGTCCATATATACCCTCCCGCCCCTTGAGCTCAGCAACAAATGCCCTTCTCTGGGAACCCTCTGTGAATGATATTAGGAGGGTGAGTACCCGGAGGAGGGCCTTCTCTCCGGTGGCGCCCCACCTATGGAATGTGCTCCCCAGAGAGGTCCGCCTGGCGCCGTCGTTATTTGTATTTTGGCACCAGGCTAAGACCTTTTTAACTTATTTTAAGTGTTAATTTATTGGTTATTTGTAGGATTTTAAATTTTTTAAGCTGAGATGCACCGGGTTTTAATATTTTTATTGTATAATTTGGTTCTTGCTGTGAGCCACCCTGAGACTTTGTTGCGATGGGGGTGGCATAGAAATGTTTTAAATAAATAAATAATAAAAGAAGGCTGCACTGTGATGACTGAGGACAGAAGCTGCTCCAGGAAGCAGTACTCATGGACTAGGTATTCCACATTCCTCACAATGTTGGGCTTTAAGTTTGAAGGGGCAGGGGCTGCAAACATATGCCAGAAGAAATGCATCCCCGTGGAGGTGGATGAGCCCCTTACCAATATCCTCTCTTTCTCCTCCATCTCTTTTTTGAGCCGTTCCTTCTCCTTTGCTGCTGCTAAGAGCTCTCTCTGCAAACTAGCAGCTTTCTCTTTCTCTTGCCGTTCGTGCTCCCTGCAAGCAACAAAACCATGTCACCATCCAAATGGAGAAGGGAGCATTACCTGACTGCAGCACTGGTCCGAGAGAGGTACCCCTCAGCAGCCTTAGTCATACATTTTGGGGCCTGCTTGTAATTCACTCTTCACATCTTCACTCACTGTTTTTGTTTTGTCTTCAACGGACACAAAGCACCCAGGAATGGAAGCATTCTCAACCATGCTGTCCTTACCGCTGTGCTTGAAGCTTTTCCTGCTCTCTCTTCTTCTCTAGTTCTCTCTCAGCAGACAGCTGTTTCTCCCTTTCCAGATCTGCCTGATGCTGTTCAGCAATCTTCCTAGCTTTCTCTTGCTCCTCCTCTTTTTTCTTCTGCAGTAGCTCCTTGTGTTTATGCTCTTCTTCCTCCTAAGAAAGAAGATATTACTTTCCAGATAGAATTCCTACAGCACATGACTTAAGCCAGTGGGTCTTGAGGTGAATGCACAGGACAAATTATCACAGGCTGTATACAAGACCCCAAGACACTAACTGGAACAAGTAACCTGAAAGAGTCAATATTGCTATCCCCTGTTTACATCCTAAAAGAGGCAGATTTTTCCTGGGCCAACATAGGAGCAAGACTTGAAATGAAAACTACTTGCTGTAACTGTCACGAAGTTGAGAAGCCCTTGCAAAAATTTAAACACATAAAACCATATCTCAGTGCTTTCTGCCCTGGTCTCCTCTCTATTCCAGCAACGATGCTCCTATCCAGACACCGTCCACCTTACCAGCTGCAGAGCTCTCTGCTTCCGGGCTTCTTCTTGTTTGCGCCGTGCTTCAAGCTCTTCCAACTTCTTGGCAGCCACTTTCTTCTTCACTTTGTCTTCTGCCATCTTTTCCTCTCGCACCTAGAATAGGTCATAGGCATTTTATTATTTCAATTTACAGTAGCCCATACCCGGGCACTTTGTGTGACTTACAACAATTAAAACAGCAGAACATTCTAAAATCAATAACACCGAAGGATTAACATAGCCAAATATAAAAACATAATCCAACAAAATTAAAATATTACATGAACACTTTGAATAAAACAATTTAAACTCAAATCAACTATAAACCAGAAATAGGTTCAATTAAAATCCAGTTACCTGCTAAAACCAACTATTAAAATAGCCAGAGAAGAGAGATGTCTTCACCTGGCACTGAAATGGTAACAGCGATAGTACCAGACACACTTCTCTGGAGAGCCTATTCCAGAGTTGAGACACAACCACCATGACGGCTCTTCTTCTGGCTATCATCCCCCTCACTTCCCTGGGGGATGGATCCTTAAGAACCTCTTCACCTGATCTCAACCATCTGTAGGGTTTTTGCCATTACATGCAGCAAGTTCCCTCTTCTGTACATTGTATTAAACTCATCTCCCCCCCCTCCCCATGTGTTAAGATGTGCTTCCTTTATAACAGGCTGAACAGTCAAAGCCCTTGGCAATTTTAAATGGGAAGACTACTGACTAGGCAGACTCACTGTTCAAATCGTTGCCGTCCACTGCAAAGGAGGAGTGGCATGCTAAGACTACAACATGACACCCAGAAGATGAAATGTGTTACTATAAACTCTTCTTTTTTGTAAAGAGGATTTAAAAAGCACTGCCACAGACACCATCTTTAGGCATAGTTTGTCACTGCATTACCCCTATCCGGAAGGTTTTCCTTTCACGTTTTGGAGAGCCCATCCTTTCAAAAAGCTCTGTGGCGACATTCAACTGTACCTTCTCATTCTTCTCCACATGCTGAGCATGTTTTTGCTCAAGTTTCTTTTTTTTCTCCTCTTCCAACTGCTCTACCCGTTCCCGAGCCTGCAGCACCTTGCGAAGGCGCTCTTCACGCTTCCTGATAGCACAAAAGTGTCCAGTTAGTAAAAATAAATAAAGACAACCTAAAAAATGCCCGGCTGGGAAGACACGCACATACCGTTTCATCTCCTCCAACCGCCGTCTTTTTTCCTCCTCCAATTTCAGCCTTCTTTGTTGTTCGACTTCTTCTTTCTTCTTCAGATTCTCTAACCGTTGCCTTTCCTTCTCCTAGATAGAGAATAAGGCTTGTATTAACACACACTATTAAACAGAATGTCTATTCCTGCAGTTACTGTAATATGGTAACCCACAAGTGAAAGTTGAGCAACTGAACTGCAGTTTTAGTCAAGGAAAGAGAAATCTCTCTCTGTACTGAGGTAATGTACCCAAAAGTGACAGTTGCATTGGCAAGAGAATTTCCCATGGCTACAAGAAAGAATACTAGTGCCAATTTAGCCACCATTTTACTAAACCAGTTTGGCCAAGAACAAGATAAGCCATCTGGACATTTCAGCGGTTCTTGCTATGCCATGCATTTCATTCCCTCCTGCAGTTCAGCTACAGCTACTTCAAACAGTTAGTGAATGGCTTACACACACTCTAACAGTCAAACAGACCTTTCATTAGATTGGCAACAGGCAACATTCTCATTCCAGAATGGCTCTGATGCAAGGTTGCCTTACAGCAGGGAAATGAAATCACACTGATCAAGCAAAATTTTGGCTACAGTCTCAAAAGTATTGCTGTCAAAACTGTTGCCTCCCAATTCCCATGCATTTCAGAAGGAGCTGGAGCTCACCAAAACCTCTGAAAGATCATTAGGCTGGCAGAAAATAACCTGATTCAACACAGAATTTCTGGGCCTTTCGTGTGACACAGAAGCAGGTGCTATTAACATAATTACTGCAACACTTGTACTTTTAAAAAGCATGAAGAAAGGAGGAAGAAAATGAGATCAATGTTTCAAAAATGAATCCATTGTTTCCTCTTTTGAGACTATGTTTGAGACAATCAATCCATTGAGTCATAAGCAGGAGCAAGAGGGGGTGATGATTTTGAACCAGCTAACCAAATCACGATGAAGGAAGGAAGGAAGGAAGGAAGGAAGGAAGGAAGGAAGGAAGGAAGGAGTAAACCCTGGGCCAGGTCAGGCTTGGGTCACTGCAGGGAAGTTGCCCCCACTTGATGAGAGACTAGCATGTTGGTTGGCAGACGGCACATCCCTTCCTAAGAAGGCAACAGTTCTGTTTTCTCATGACCAGAAGGAATCTTAGCCTTGCTTTATTCAGGGATATGGCCTAGACTGAAATGGGTCCCCAGGCTCTAAATCTTCATACAGTGCTATTCTCAGCCCCAGTTTTATCCTTGAACACTCAAACTTTTCCCCACAGCAGTTATACCAGGTCTGTTAATGAAAAAAAGTAACTGTGCAACAGGCTATCTAAATATTAGCTTTGAAACTAAGTTAAATTACTTCCCTGCTAAATATTGAACACTTATCTCTGGGGCGTTCTCTCTTTCCAATTGACTGTATACGCTCTCAGTGTAATTGCTATATTTGGGTTGAACTTCTGCACACAGATACTAGGAGTAAATCTCAATAAATCCAGGGGAACTTCTAAGTAGACAACCACCATATTGAACCACTTAAATTTTTCCCCTCCTTCTTTATTTTGCAGATGAAAGGAGGTATGAAAAGCATGGACTTTTATTTTCATCAGATGAATCCAAGGCAGAACTTGGAGGACATATCATCCCAAAATTATTTTTTTATCTCATACCAGCCCAATTATTTTGGCTGCAGGGTACAAGATTTTTTAAAAGGAGGTTTCAGTCACATGTGGTATGATACTGACAGGAAGGAAGATACTATGAAAAAATTCTATATGTACCAATATAGTACTTAACTAAGATGAGCAATGAGTTAGTATTTACATTTATTTGCAACTAAAGGGACATTCCACAAGCCAATGTGCAATAGCCAGGTGTTCCACAGGGAGCTACAGCCAGTTGTAGCTCTCTGATAAACATATCTCTACAGTTTGTATTTTTTATATTCACATTCCATGTTTACATGTATAGTTTAACATCTTAAATATAATATGTAAAGTAACCAAAAGAACAGAAAGTTAACAATATTCTTGGAACTAGGTAATGATTTTTTATATTCTAGTTCCATTTTTGTAAATGTTTCTGAACTGAGCTTTCTAAACTGAAATACATTAAATATGAAAAGGTAAATACGTTGAAGGGAAGAAGTAGAAAATATGGATCATCATGCTTTGAAATGCTCAAGGTTCGCTTGTTACTAGGAACAGAGTACAGGATCTCATTTTTTAAAAAGCACTAAAGAAATGCTGGACTTGCCCCTTTAAAGGAAGAGGTGTTAGGTCACTATGCTGGTTAAGAATGCCATTGGACAATACACACACTGTGTTAATGATATACAAAAGCACCTACTGTGAGATCAATCTTGTTACTTACAACAAAACCCCTCTGTATAAAGAGAAGATTAAGACATAATTATTATCTTTGGACATTTGCACCTCAGTTTTATGGAATATTTAGTGCCAAAAATGTAACAGGACTAGAGCACTGGTTTATACAGGACCCTGCCTCAACAGTCCCAAACTTTGTTGATCTCAATTTCAGTTCAACTTTCATCCACACTAAATAAGAATGGTCTGCTGTGCTGAGTCTGATTAGAACAAGAAGCAGCAATAGGTTTAACTGCTTGCAGTGAAGTAGAAGAATGCTGACCTGCTAAACTGTGTAGTGTGGAACAGAATAATTCAGTTTGAAAATCAGGCACACACTGGAGCTAAAGATATAGTTTGAAGCAGTCTCATCCACCCCAATTCCCATTTTTCATTCTCTTATGCCCCTCTGCACACTGATTCTCTTCCATCCATCCCTCCTGATCTTAATCCCCTTCCACAGTTTCAGCATATTCTTCCAACTCATTGCTTCTTCTATCATGTTCGATCTGCTGCCTTTAATTGTACTTTTCTGCTTTCTTCAGCTACCCAACTGTTGGCCCTTAGTTACTTCTGCCTGGCCAGAGTCCCTAAACCTCATTTTTTAGGATTGTTTCCTCACCATTCTGTTGTCACACAGTACACAATTTTCCTTACAGTAGTCACCGCCTACTTTTTCACTGATAATTTTACTTGTTTTAATTTGTTAAAAAATGACTTCACTGTACCTTGGGAGTGTTCTGTCTGAGGAATGATTTTATGGTACTGTTACGGGTCACAGAGCCGGGGGTCATCATGAGCAGCTGGTTCTTATGCACTGTGTGCAAGAATGTCTTAAGAGGGCGAACAACCTGAAAAGTACAGGACACTATTGATCCATGGAAGGGCACTGATGCGACTTGGGGCACTCTGAGGAATGGGGTGCTTGTCTTACCTTGCTGGCAGGACACTGAGGAGATGGAGGCTTCTTCCTTGGGGGAGAGAGCTCATCCTCCATGGGCTGTCCATCATCAAGCTCGCTAACTGCTCTCTTATAGCTTGCCTTTCTCCTGCAGAATTTTAAAATTATATAAATGGTCAAGTGGTCATTACAGAGAACATCCAGGTGGAGAAATCTCCCATAAGCCAGGGCCTCTGGCAGGGCACCATTCTTTGTAATTTAAGCATTCACAAATAACCTGAAGGCAAGATAGCTACTGAGGTAAATCTTTAATGAAGTCTTCTCCTCAGAGCTAGTCCTGTACCTGTCGCCATGTGACAGGCTCCACTATTCATGGCCCTGTCTGAAAATTTTGTCTGTCTGAGCAGAGCTGTGAGGATACCTTCCTTATACAGGGTGCCCCAAAAAACTGACATCATTTCGTAGTCTAATAACATAGCCAATTCTCGCTCAAATGATCTCAAATTTTAACAAAATGTGTAAAAACTAACTAATATTAGTGATGCAATGTTACACAAGACATGTGTTTGCCAGGAGGTGGACTACTGACTTGATGTGTGTCGTGTCACAGGCGGTGCGCATATTGAACATTTGTGAGGCTTTGTGAAATCGGTTATAAAATCTACATCCCTTTGAATCTCGTCCGAATTTTGATAAATCTTTTATTGTTCAACATGAAGCCTATTTAATTTCATTTGCCTAAGACATGTAGTTACTCAGATATTCACATTTCAAATAACGTCACATTTTTGGGGCACCCTGTATTTCCCTTTCAATATTTCTCCTCCCTGCATCCCCATTTCTTCTTCTCCCTTCTATCTCCATCGCCTTCAGCTCTGACAGGCAAGCAGAGCAAGTGTTGCTTCTTCCTCCACCAGTGTGAGGAAAGTCTTCATTCTCGCCCCCAAACACAAGTAAGTGGCACAAAGAGCAGGTTCAAACATAGGCATTTTGTGTGCCAACGTATGCACAAGCTTGAAGATGGTAATTCATACAGACGGGGCATAGAGACAAAAGTCCCATAGAAAACATACCTGGCACTCTGCGGCTGCATTTGCATCTCCTTACACTTTTCAGAGGGGCCCTCTACACAGAGAGAGGAATAGTTACAGTTAGTGATGGCTGAGGTGTCCTACAGAGCAAAGGCCTGAAGCCCCAGTGGCCAATAGTCATCAGATGGAAGAGGAGCAGGCTTCCTTGCTGGTACAGATTGTCTTTGTGCCTGCAGCTTTGCTGATTAGATTTCACTTGTGCAGGCACAGAGGGCATGCCCACAAACAAAGCTATATAGAGATTTCTGGCAGCAGGCTTCTGCTCCTCGCTATCTATGGAGAGCTTGGAAAGCAAGTGAAGAAACCCATTTGAGCTGGTTTACTATTTTCCCAGGAAAATGTTATGTTAATAAAATCATGTTTTTAACTGTTTCCGCAAACCCAGGTCAGTGCCAACTTGTGTTCTCCTAAAAGAATTCCTTGACTAAGACACAGCATGCAGCTGCAGCCTACAGAACTTTAATTTAGTGATAAATTCCAATTCTGGAGTCCAGATTATATATATGAAGTGAGCAAACAGGGAAAAATGATTATTCCTACTTCTGCTGAATAAATAGTACAAACACATTTGCTATGGATGTTTTTACATTTTTATCCCAAGTGCTCAGATGGCATGCACTGTTCCCCAACAACTACCCTGAGGAATAGAATAGGATGAGAGAATAACTGGCTAAAATTCATACAGTGACCTTCGTGACCAAGACAGGAACTGAACCAGAATTCCTCAATCAAGGACTACCACACCACACTGCCAAACAGTGTTGCAAATAAATATTTAAATTATTAAATAAACAAATAATTATTTGATTTCTATTCTACTCAAGGGCTGTTAGCCTGGGGGAGCTGCAAGACCCAATCCTGCCCCCCATGCTTTCTACCATCTACATGAAACCACTGGGTGAAGTTTTCTGGAGGTCTGGGTTTCAGTCAAGTCCCATCAGTATGCACATAACACTCAGAAGTACCCACTTGTTTCCATGTATACATCCTAGGGAGGCCTGGGAATTCTTGGAGCACTGTCCGGAGGATGTTTTCGGTGCAACACCTGGGAACTGAACTTGTTCCACTTAATGCAGACAAAATGGAGGAGCTGTGTGCTGGGAAACCCTGGACAGAGGTTTGCAGCTTACTTTTAGGCAGGTTGCACTATGCCTAAAGTTACAAGTGTGCAGTCTGGGAGTCCTCCTGGATGCTGTGCCAGCTGGGGAAGTCCAGTGGCTCCAGCCCCAGTTCATTTTACTGGCTTAAGGCTAGTATGCCAGCTGTGGTCCTATCAGGGGAAGACAGATCCTGCCTCTGTTATCCATGCACCAGGCTGAACTACTGTAATGTGATGTATGTGGGGCTCCATTTCAAGATTACAGTGCTGGTGGAGACAAGGTAATGAGGTCAAAGCACACCTATACTATGCCAGCTGCACTGGCAACCAGTCTGCTTCTGAGCCCAATTTAAAATGTTACTTTTGACCTTCAGCACCTCAGACATTGTGGAACTGAATCACCTGACAGGCTGCCTTCACCCTTATTAGCCTCCCCACACTTTAAGATCATCCAGAGAAGTCCTGCACACTTGCCCACCCATGACAGCTGTTAAGTGGGCGAGGACATGGGAAGGGTTCCACTGCAGTGCCCCCACACTTCTGGAATATATTGCTGTCAGGGGTCTGTGAGGCCCCATCACTTTTACTGCTGTACACGACTTTGGGAGGGATTCTGCATGGAAAGCAAGCCTGGAAATATTGTAAATAAACAATGCAAACTTTTCTGGTTAATGATTCAGGTTTGCCCTTCTTTAGGAATGCCTCGTCTGCCTGATAGTTGGTCTCATCTCCTACTCAGCCAATGAATAGCACCTGAATATATTGACCTTTGCAGTCTCCTCCTTCCTGTTCTTCTCGAGGTGTGGCAGTTGCAGTCAGGCTGGCCTTGTGAGAAAGAAGGGACATCCTGCTGTTATCAATCTGCAGTAATGGCACATGTTCTCTGCATGGACCCCTTCATCCATAAAAGCACAGGTTAGCATTAGCTGACTAGGCAGGCTTCTGGAAGGTTAAACCTAGGGATGCACAATGTGTAGCCCTCCAGATGTTGTGGGACTGCAAAACAGCTGTCATCTTTGTCTATGCAGGCTAGGAGTGGCAGAAGCTGCAGTCCAACAACATCTAGAGCAGAGACTCCAACACCGCACCCCCCCAGCACATTCAAGGGTACCCCTCTCCCCTTAATTTTTTTAGCACACATGCAGTCCCTGAGTTAAGAACATCCGACTTACAAACAACCCAGCCTAAAGCACACCACCTCCATTGTGACAGTGAAGATCAGGCCGCTCTATGCCCTGATTCTGTATGATCCGGTATGGGGGTCTAAGGCAGGTTTGGGCACTGGATAGATTTACTCTGAGCACAGACTAGGTAGGTATCATCTACTTCTCTACCACACACTAAGAGTCTACCCTATGAGTAGCTTATAGCCTTACACAGATCTGTTGAGAAGTAAGTCTAATTCAGTCAAATCGGGTTAATTCCCCAGTAAGTGGATATAGGATTACCCTCTTTTTAAAGGCCTTCTAAGAACTTACCTCTTGAGAATGAGATGCAGGATCCAACTCTGGTCTAAGACACAAAGAAAAAATATAGATGGATACTGTACAGCAAAACTATATCAATGATTTTTAGGCTCCTGTCATGCAGAAAGATCATTTCCATGATATCATTAAATGTTGGTTAAATGAAGCTATAAAACCCATACAAGATCACAGAAGCCACACAATAGCTGCCATGCTTTCATGTAGCGCAAAGAGAAGCAACTTGGCCTACAACTCCCATCAGCCCTACTCCTAATGGCAAGGGATCATGGGAGCTGTAGGCCAAAACTTCTGGAGGGTACAGGTTGCCTCCACTACTTTTAATCTTAGAATATTAAGATTTTACTTAAATAAACTCACCCAGATTCAGAAATTTGTTCATCCACTAATTTCTCCATAGCAGTCTGGGCTGAAGGAGAAAAGACACAAATAGGATGACATCCCCAACATGCCACATGCATTCAGGATCAAAACCCAACACCAGCAAAGGCACCCTCTCTCTTACTGCCTGCCACATTCTACGTGCAGCAGCATCCTGGGCCTGCTGAATCACTGCAGATGGGCATGGATTCAAGTGCACATGCTCACACGGAAGCAGCGCTAGAAGAGCATCAGCTACAGTTTGGTGGATTCCATCTGGCAGGAAGGTTGGACATTCCTGTTGTCCTGGGACATTTCATTTATTTATCTTATCTACCACCCAATAGCTGAAGGCATCTAGGCAGTTTACAACAGTTCCTAAGCAGGACTGTGGGAAAATAGAACACCACATTTCTTCTAAAACGAAATTTAAAACCAGTTCAACATTTTAAAGCACTTAACAGCTAAAAGAGTGTGCAATGCAGAATAGATCTACTAAAAATGCAAACATGGATACCCCAGTCAAGCCATTAGGTAACTCTAGACAGCTTTAAGTGCCTTGGTACAGAGGGATGACTTAAGCTAGCACTGAAAGGATGTCAAAGTTGCCTCCAGGCAGACCTCAATGGGAAGATCATTCCACAGTCAAGAGCCACCACTGAGAAGGTTGCTGCAGTGCAAGACTCCCTTGGAGGTGACAACCAGAGGACGGCCTCAGGTGTTGTACAGGCAGATTGCATTTGGGAGAGGCATTCCACCCAGTGCTGCAGTCCCACGACATGCAATGCTTCATAGGATAAAACCAGCACTATGAATCAAACTCAGAAGCATATAGACATCCAGTGCAAATGGACCAGAAGTGGTGTTATACACTCAGAACTTCTGGTCCTAGTTATTAATCTTACTACCACATTTTGCACAAGTTGCAGCTTCCAAGCTGTCTTTAACATCAGCCCCATGTAGAACACATTGCAGTAATCTAACTTAGAGATTACCAGAGTGTAGGTTACTGAAACCAGGAGGTCTCTATTCAGATAGGAGTGTAGCCGGGCCATCAGCCCAAGAGGGTAAAAGGCACCTTGTGCCACTAACGCCATCAGAGCCTCAAGTGACCAGGATGACCCCCAAACCTGCTCCATAAAGGAGGGTGCAATGCCATCCAAACTGAAGACCCTTCAACCACCCACTAACAGCAACTCAGTCTTCTTGGATATCTCTTCAATTTGTTAGCCCTCACCCAATCCCTGCCACATTTCACTAGCATGTATGATCCAAGCTAGTTAACTGTTTTGTAGAATAAAACCCAGCAACTTCAGTAGAAGAAATTATGCCAGTGCACCAATTTATATCTTTTTAGGAAATTTTTTAACATTTAGCCTGTGTGTTGTGGCCCGTTTAATTGTTTTCATAGATGTTTAATTCATTATGCTTTAATTGGTTTTAATGTATTAGTATGTTTTATGCATTGTAAGCCACCTAGAAAGGCCTCAGCAATTATAGGCGGCCTATAAATACATGTAAATAAATGAATAAACCTCAGTATAAAGTCATGTCACTTTTGTGGTATTGGGAGAGGGTGAAAGAAGTCCAAAGCAAAACTATACCTAATACTGGCTAGTTTTACTATTTTTGCTGTCCATTCTTAGTAAGCATTTGCCACATGGCAATCATGAATGTTTTCACAAATTAACAGTTGGGACGACTGAATTGTTTTCTTATAGATCCTTATAGATCCAAAGCAGGCTAGGATCAGATCTTTCAAGTAATTAGTAGTAATGCTCTGTATCAAGTCATAATGCACTGTTCTTTCCCAGTATGATCTTCCCTGGGGATGGGAAAGCCTACACAACATAGCTGATGAAACAAATGACGAACAATGGTTGACAAATGAATTCATCCACCACCTGGCAAGCTGTGCAGTCAGAACTTGCACCAGGCAGTGAGGAGAGGAAGGGAGAGAGAAGGGAAGGGAAGGACAGAGGGGGAAAGTGGCACCAGTGAGCTGTGAAGTCCGAACTAAAAAGTTACTCCAGTGCTAACTACCTCCCTCCAGCAGCACAATCAAACCCTGACTCTCCAGCACTAGTCCCATCTCCATCATCATCTAGTTAATATTAGGCTTAAGGTTAGCTCAAGAAGTGTTAACCTTTAAAACTCTTTTTACTATTTTTTAATATTTCTATTATCTAAACTGTTTTGAGAACTGTACTGTATACCTACATTCTCTCTTTAGTACCTAGTTACTCTATTAGTACTGTAGTACTATCTTTATTTAAATGCTGTATTATATTTAAGATGTTTTAGTGTACATGGGAAGTGTTTCTTCAGTGTTTTGTATGTTTTTATATACATGATCCAAGACTTACATACAAATTCAATTTAAAGACATTCTTCAGAATGGAACTCGTCAGTAACCCAGGGACTACCTGTACTGAGTTGGACCCTTGGTCATCTAGCACAGTATTACAGAACCTGGTTGGTAGTGGTGCTTCAGGCATTCCTGCAGAATTTTTTTCCAGCTTCCCTACGAGAAGCCTGGGAGCTTCTGCAGGCAAAGCATGTTTTCTACCACAGACCTACGACCTCCTGGTCCATTACAGCTCTTCAGTTTCAGAATAATACTATTTGGTAATTTTTTCCCACTACCTAAATTTCCAGTGTGTTCTGCATCTAAAACACCTCTATGGAACACTTAGCATGTGAACCACTTATTCTCCACCTTAATCTCACTAGTACACAGTACAAGTTTAGAATTAAGGCACTCTGAGCAGAGTGGAACTTGCCACAAATTAAATTCTGTGGATTAGGCTCCTATGTTGTTTTCAACGTGTCACTAGGTTTGGCTGAGTGAACTAGATGCATCTGTTTCACTAATCATTAGCAAAAGGAGCTGCATTTCTGAACGCACTGAAACAGACTTCTTTGCTTTGTCTTTATGAACCCATCTGTTACAAGGTCTTTGGAAAAGGCCCTGGTACAGGTTTTAAGGAAATCTCAGATTTTGTGAAAGGGCTTTTTTGTTGCAAAGATGATGTGTTTGGACAGAGCTAAGCAGAGGGCCTGCTTGAGACCCCTCGCTATTCATTGCCAAGCAGAATATTTTCCTATTCTGATAGGTCTTTGGCTTGTCCAAGGTTTAAGTTGTTTCCTGAATTTACCTCCCCTCATGCAATCAATATACTTGCTTGCACCTTCATTGTTAAATTCTTATTTTAGTTTCTTTTTCAGTTTTATTTAGTGATTTTTTTTAATTTTTGGATTTGTTATGTGAGCTGCCTTGTGTGTCTAGTATTAAGACAGGAACATTTTGCATAGTAATAAATTTACCTTGCATGAAAAACACATGTTTCCCAAAAAGCACTTGCCATAAGTCACATCAAATTAATTCCATGGCGTTTTACTCAAGTACACAGACAGAAAAGGGGAAAAAGGAATGTAGAGAGGAACTAAGAAAAAAACTGGAGAGAGAATAATAGACTTGTCTCAAATCACAGACACTTACAGCTCATACGCCTACTGGCAGATGGGGACCGCTGGGTTGTTTTACGCTTAGAAAGAGTCCTACCAATCGATTTCTGGACCATTCTTTCCCTTTTGGCACTTAGTGAGCATCTCTCAACCAGAGAGGCTTGGCAGTTCTTGGGGTTCCTACCAATCAGGCTTCGCCGAACAGAGTGACGGTTTGCTTTTGGAGCTGTGGGCGTCTGTGGACTCTCACTTATGCTTTGTGTGGTTTCCAGTGTGAAATGCTGCTGGACACACGAGTTCTCCTCCTGAGCATTGGCTTCTTTATTCTCAGTGGTTCTGGCAATGGAAGCATTTGCTATTTTCAGCTTGCAGGCTTCCCGTCCCTCTTTCATTATTTTTGCTTCAGGGGTGTCTGGGACCACAAGCAAAGAAACTTTGGACAAAGCTTGTGATCTCCTTTTAGGGGACTTATCAGATGATAGTGTGAAGGTCAAAGCAGTCTTCTCGGGTGGTGTTTTGTTGAGTTGGAATTCTGCACTGTTTCTCTCATTAATGCTGATTTCAACTAGTGGGATCCGCCCTTTGGCTAAATGGATAGCTGAATTCTTAAGAGCAGCATCTGAGTGTCTGGCGGATTTAAGAGCCTGAGATCTAGTCACACGACGACAAGGAGAATTATAGTCTTCATCAGTCTTCGTAATTTCCAAGTCTTTTTTCTGTTGGGATTGTTGGGAAATTCGTTTAGAAGATTGGGTAGCTGTTCTTTTTGACAATCTGTTAACAAAATCAACTGTCAGAAATGCAATGGGCTCAAGTTTACTAGAGGACAAAGCTGGCAGAGATATTAAAACAAACAGTACACACTTTTATTTACCCTTTCCTCCAACAGAAGCAGTCAGGAGCCACTAAACCTTGTAAGAATAAACCACAGATAAGAACTTTTGCATCCAAACTGAGAAAAACTGATCCATCCTTTCCACTGAATGTTGCAATGGCCAATAGTGTAGCTGAATTGAAAAATCCTAGACAAATGATTTGAGCCATAAATATTAGAGACACAAACTACCACTAACAGATCAACTGGCAAAAGCTTTGGCTAATTAAATTAGCGGAGAGTCAATACTTACTTACTTTAAAGATATATACCAAGACTTTTAATCAAATTAACTCCAAGACAGTTTACAACAGGATGCAATAAAGGACACAACACAAAAATCCACACTCACCAGCTTTAGGCCTCTGGCTAAGGGAAAGGACAGCGTGTGCTAACCTTCCAGATCTGCAGTCCCAACTGGAGCAATATTTTTTCTAATGGGGTATGAGGGGGAAAACATCCTGCAACTGCTTTGTCTCTGGCCCATGACTGAGGCCCTGAGCTGTAATGTGCTTTCTGTGAGGCAGAGAATGTAGTATCTCAGTAGCCCTTGCTGCTCTGATCCATGGAACGGCCCAATGCAAACTTCCCTCCAGCTCTGCACTGGCCAGGGCAAACAGCTGATGGAGCAGAGTGACAATCTGAAGCCTATTTAGATCTTGTCCATCATTCTACCCAAGCAGATGCCAGCCAACCATTTGTAGGAAAGTCCACAAGCAGGACATGGCTCCAATGACACCATCCCACTTGTGTTTCTAAGTAACTGACACACACAGGCAGACTGCCTTTGATACAGGTGGAGGTAGCATATAGCCACTATGATGGGTAGCCATTGATGGTCTTATTCTCCATGAATTTGCCTAATCCCCTTTTAAAGCCATCCAAATTGATGACCATCACTATATTTTGGGATAGGAAATACCCTAATTAAACAATGTGCTTTGTTTAAGAAATTAATGTCCCAAAATTCCCTTGATCCAGCTTCATGGGATTACCCTGGGTTCTAGCATTATAAGAAGTAGAAATCTCCTTCTGTACCCATTTGTCTCACACCATGCACCAATTCCTCTCATGCTTCCTTCAGTATCTTAACAAGTGAGTTATTATGATTCTGGTGATATGAACATATCTGAAATTTTATTAATTTGTTAAAAGGCAGATGATTAAGGCTAAAAGAAAAAGCTCTGTTCACTTGACAATGACTATCCATCCATGGATCACAAATGTATTCCTTCTGCCTGGCCCAAAATGAGAAATAAATTGAAACTTTCACTCTTGCCTTCCTTTGCATACCTTAATGTATGGGCAATTTGTTTAGGACTCATTATAACCCAATACTTTGTTATTTAAGTTCAATTTAATTAAAGAGAAGACAAAAAAAAGATACGGTTGCAGTATCATTTTGTGTTGTCTAAGAATGGCCGGGGAATGCAGAGAGTTGTAGGACTTTGTCTGTCTAGAAGGAGATATGCATAGGATTGCACCCTTAGTCATAGCACTAAAGTGGGGGCATCCCAATCCCTAAAGCAGTCTGTTCCAAGCTTCCCAAAACCAGTATTTAAACAAGTTGATATACTATTTATTAGTCCCTTCTCAAACATTTTAACTAGCTGGCAGACCAATTCTACAATTATGAAACTCATTTCACATATTTCCACCTTGCTGCCTGCTGAGTTTCCCTGATATTCCCACCATGCACAAGACTAATCCTGACAGAGATGGTCATTAAAAGAAAGAATTTGTTTGTGGGAGAGGAAGCTAAGTGGCATAGCCAAAGTCCCAGGGGTTCATGTTGGCACTTGAAAAGTGAATGAGAACCTCCTCAGTGATGGCGCCTGCCTTCCGCCATTTTTGCACATGCCTGCATTAAATGTGTGTATGCAATCTGCCAAGCAATTAGGAGCACATTTTTTAAATCTTCAAAAGACTTTACAATGATCAAGTTACATTTTGCAACCACTATAATATTTTCCTCAAATACCAACAATATCAAATTCTACCATTAAGAAAAGATTGTACATTGATCCAAAATTATTCAGAAGCCCCCACACTGAAAAAAATACACTCACCCCAAAAACATTCATGGTATTAATCCTACCTCTTTTTAGAAAAACTATCTTTCTTAACAGAAGAAAAACGCTTCTTCCGGCGATTTTTCTGTGATGGAGTTTTTGGCATCATCTCCGGCTCTCCGTCAGAATTGCTGTTTGGATGTACAAGCAATAAAATCAAAGATCTTATCCCTTCCCTGCTAGGTGCTTTTATCTAAGCTTACTGACTGCTAATTTATCTGACAAATCTATTCAAACCAATCCAGACACTTAACATTGCAGGGTTAGAGTCACTCAGACATCCATTACTATGCACTTGCTCACTGGTAACTGAGAACAACAACATCTCCCTATGAAAGAGAGGACTGCTGACAGGCTAAGACTGTAGGCATCTCACCTTTATTCTCAAATGCCTTCAGCAGGGCCACTGTCCCATATTTGGATTTCCCATTCTGGGAAAGGCTAGGAAAAGACTGCAGTTAGAGACACTCTTGCACCAGTGTCATTCTGATTACTGACTGGGCATCACACTGAGACCTTCTTATAATTAGAAAGACTTTCTGTACATTACCTAAAGGATAAGAGGCTGAGCAGATATTATTCTGGCCTCAACCAGTTCAGACATCAGATGCAGGTAAAGATATTGTCCTACACATAACACTCCTCCTTCCAAAAGGTAAACATGGTCATCAGAAAGAGATGTCCCAAGACTTTGGCTTTAATCTTCTAATAAGTGATCCTGCTTATGGGTGTAGAAAGGGCCAAAAAGCAACCTGGCTATGCAATACAATTCTGAATTGCAAAAGGGCTGCAGGATCAAATACTTTGGATAACAACTCTACATACAGCTTTTAAACTGTTATGTTTCCAATATATAGACCCTGCCTCCCCCCCCCCCAAAAAAAAAAAAGAATTGGAGGTTTGGGGCACCATTTCCAGTCTTACTTTCTAAACATCTTGATAGCCTCTTCAAGAATCTCATCCAACCACAGAAAGTCTGTGTTTTGGACATTCTGCAGGAATTCTTCTAGTTTCTTCTTCGCCTGCTCTTCCAGTTGCATGGGATGTACCATCTTCAACAATGGCTTAGCCTGAAAAGCCAAAGAATTATTTCTTGCTTAATTCACAGAAAAGCCAGTGCCGGCCACCCCCCACTGCAGCTTAGGTGCTTCATTCTAAAGGACCAGGAATTCACAACATATGCATTGCTTTTCTTCCCCATTATCCTACATACTACAGATAATCACCTGAAAAGTATTAATCACAATTTCAAAACTGTCAAACTTGCCTAATACCTTCACTTTTACTAGACAGCCCCCAAAAGAAATAGTTTTCCATGGAAAATAAACCACTGAAAGTAATTTCCTCTCCACACCACTGGTCATGGCATCATCTAGCGTTCAGCCTCCAAGGCTGACCTTAGTGCTTTGGTGGTCCTTCAGATAATCTGGCACAAAACCAGCACCTTGAAACAAAAGGGTCAGCCAATATGGACAGAGCTAATACAGGTCAAGTGTCTCAATCTCACAAAGGTTCTAGCTGTCTCCCTTGGTACCAAGTCTAAATTACAGTGGTACCTTTGCTCACGAACTTAATCCATTCCATGACTCTAGTCGCCACCCAAATTGGTCGTGAGCCTAGTGAAATTTCCCCATAAGGTTCAGTGTAAATAAGGTCAATCCGTTCTGTAACAATTTTTTATCACAAAAATTTGAAACAAAGTGACAAACAACAACAAAGTAACAAAGAACAACAAAGATCACAGTCATCTCCCCCCCCCAGCACAATCGCAGCCATCTCTCCCTACCCCTGAGCACGACTGCGATCACACCTGTGCAGGGAAGGTGGGCGTGATTGCCACCCGATGCAGAGTTCATGACTGGAGGCAAACTTTTTCTGAAATTTCTGTTTGCAACCCAATTTGGTTGTGAACTGAGGCGTTCGTGAGCCAAGGTGCCACTGTATCTTCAAGAGCATCACAACAGTATGTTACAGTAACATAACCTGGAGGTAACTAGGGCATGTGTGCCCAAGGATAGCGCAGCGTTCTCCAAACAGGGCTGCAGCTGTCAAACCAGTTTAAGAGAACAAACCAACAGACAATACAATGGACTGAGGATCAATCATCCTATTTGAATTGGTGGTATTTAGGTGCCACCTGCAGACCAATAAATATATGTACATTTTGTCTGCCATTTCTGGAACATACATTTAACTGTTTCTATTGATAGCTATATCATCGTATAATTAATACATTTATGGACATACTTCTCATACACCCATTGTAATAGATTTATTTTGTGTAAGAGAGTTGTATATCTTTTCCCTTTTCTCTTTTTATGTTTCGTTCATATTAAAAGTAGTAATAAATGAAAAGGCAAATTAGTTCTAAGCTGCATTTGGTACTTACAAATGTTTCCTTGCTGGTGTTTCGTTCTCTTAAATTAGAATTGCATTTTCATTTTTTATTACTGATTTCACAAAGTGAATCACCACTTTCCACAAAAGTGTCAAAGCAGGGGTCCTCAAACTTTTTCAACAGGGGGCCAGTTGAAAGGTGCAGGTGGTGGGCATGAGCACAGCGGGGCGCGCACCGAGGCAGCGGCTTGCTCGCTCGGAGATCGTTTTCTCCAAGCAAGTCCAAAATGATCTCCGTGCGAGCAAGCCGCTCCCTCCGCACGTGCGCGGCGAGGCAGCAGTGGGCGCACCTCTTATGACCTAAGATAAACTCTGTGTAATTTGGGACAGGGTGATATGCAGATGATACCACTCTCATGGCAGAAAGTGAAGAGGAACTAAAGAGCCTCTTGATGCAGGTGAAGGAGGAGAGCGCAGAAGTTGGCTTGAAGCTCAACATTAAGAAAACTAAGATCATGGCATCCAGTCCTCTCACTTCCTGGCAAATAGATGGGGAAGAAATGGAGGTAGTGACAGATTTTATTTTCCTGGGCTCCAAGATCACTGCAGATGGGGACTGCAGCCAAGAAATTAAAAGACGCTTGCTCCTGGGGAGGAAAGCTATGGCAAATCTAGGCAGCATACTAAAAAGCAGAGACATCACCCTGCCAACAAAAGTGTGTATAGTCAAGGCTATGGTTTTCCCAGTTGCAATGTATGGCTGTGAAAGCTGGACCATAAGGAAGGCTGAGCGCCGAAGAATTGAGGCCTTTGAATTGTGGTGCTGGAGGAGACTCCTGCGAGTCCCTTGGACTGCAAGGCGATCAAACCGGTCAGTCCTAGAGGAGATCAACCCTGACTGCTCTTTGGAAGGCCTGATACTGAAGATGAAACTCAAATACTTTGGCCACCTAATGAGAAGGAAGGACTCCCTGGAGAAGAGCCTAATGCTGGGAACAATAGATGGCAAAAGAAGGAGGGGACGGCAGAGGATGAGGTGGCTAGATGGAGTCACTGAGGCAGTTGGTGTGAGCTTAAGTGGACTCCGGGGGATGGTGGAGGACAGGAAGGCCTGGAGGAATGTTGTCCATGGGGTCGCGATGGGTCAGACACGACTTCAACAACAACAAAAACAACAACATGTTAGTAGTGACACCTTAAATTTGGCCTAGTAGTTTACTGCCAGTCAGCTCAGTTCTTTTAGTAAAGGTGTAATCTGCTGTTGGAAAGAGATTCCAGTAGCACAAACTGCATTCTGTGCCAGCCACAGCTAACAGTCCAAGCCCAAGGTCAGACCCATTTAGACTGCATTGCATTAATCCAATTTTGTGGTTATAATAAAGATGAATCCAGGAGTTTGTCAATCTACACACCTGTTCTTTCAGGGGGATTGTAACTCAACCAGAATAGGCAAGTCACCAATTCCCTGGACTTACAGTGCTTCCATTGTGCTAGGTTTCAGTCTCAGCTTATTCACCTTCACACAACTCACAACTGCATCCAAGCACAGGTCCAGAGCCTGCATAGCTATACCAGTCTCAAACGTTATAGACAGACGGCTGTCATCCACATACAGTTGCCATCTCACCTGAAATTCCTGGATGACTGTGGCTTAATATAAGCAACTTCATATAAATAAAGCATTTAGGATAAATCAGTTTCTGCAGCAACAGAAATGTCAAAGGGACAAGGTGCACTTCCCCAATACCACTTGTTTTTGTAAACTAAGCTACCTTCTCAGAAGAGTTTGCCTTGAAAGATGGGTTTTTTAAATGAAATAAATTCAGAGGCTTACAAGAGCTAGCAGCTGTAATTCTAAACAAAACCAAACACAACCAAACTGTCCATATATGGTGGCAGTGGTGGTGGTGAGCCCTTCGAGAAGGTCTAAAGTGAAATTGTAGTTGTTCAATAAGAGCAACCCTGTGCATGTTTAGACAGATAAAAATCCTACAAATCCTATCATGCCCCAGGAAGCCACACTGGGAGTTGTAGGCCTTTGTCTTTCTGTCAAAGCATACATAGTATCCTGCTTTTAAATCCGCCTTTTGGAACACACAGACCCTGAACAAGGCATTTAGTTGTTGTTAACCTGCTATCAATTTGTCTCTGACTTATGGCAACTTTATGAACAAACTCCTTCCAAACTGTCCTCTCCTTGACAGTCCTGCTCAGCTCTTGTAAAGATTAAAACAACATTGAAACAAGAGTACGCAATAAATTCAGCCAACTTTAATAGTTTTTTTCTGCTGGATTTCAAGCACATAACCAGAACGTGAGCAACCGTTGGCACAAGTTTAAAGCACAGAACAAAACCTAGAGCAAGTACAGCCAAAAAAACCCCACAGTTTCACTCAAGTTCCTCAAAAGAAAGCTGGGAATAGGAAACAGAAAAATACGCGCTTGATAAAGGAGTGCCGTACAAAGCCAGACGAATGACTACACCTGAATATCCTTCCGACCGCAAGGATTTTGAATGCCTTGGCACCGCGCAGATTTAGTATCAACAAGGCCATCTACATCGCCCAAACATGGGTCCAAGACGCCGAGAAGCTATTTCTCGGCCTTTATTCCTGCAGGGCCACTTTTTTTTGTTCAAAGGTGAAACCTGGAGATATCTACTTTGCACAAAGCAGCTTGCAGCGCACGGGCTGCAGAGCGGCGAGGCGGGGAAACAGAACTAAGTTGCTCCGGGATATTATGTTTTGCTTAGTATTATCGGAATACTGCTTTGAAATCGTACTGGACTAATCAATATGTTACTGGATAAAAAAGGAGAAGGAAGGATCTTTAAGGCTGCAAAACTCCCCGCCTTCCCTTACCTCCTGATCAAGCGCCCAGCCCAGCCCTGCTCCGACCCTATCTTGATCTTCTTCCTCCTCTTCCTCCAACCGCCCGTCCCTGCGTCCCTCTGCAACTCACCCGCCAGGCTCCCTCTGAAAGGGACCGTCTGCTTTTCGGGAATCCGGGCACACTGGGGCGCTTCTCCAATTCCCGTTCGACAACCTGCAGCAGAAACGTACCTCCGGCGCCCGCTACAATTTTCAAATCGCGTCAGTCCAATCAAAAGCGGGCTTTGTCCGGAACGGCTTGGATGACGTCCCGAGCGGAGGAGGAAGAGCAGAGGAAGGACGGGAAACCCGGCGACGTTGCAATTACAAGTGTTACAAGGAAATTAGAAGTAAAAGCATAGACGACTGGGAGAAGCAGAAACACAGTTCCCAAAGAGCTGCGGGTTTCGCGATTCCTTAAAGGCTAAGGGCACAATCCTTAGTCTTTAAGCATTGAAAAGCCCCTCAATTTGCAGCATTCCCCAGCTAAACCTTTTCCTGTCTAGGATCGTACCATAACAGATTTAATATAGCATAAGCAGGCTTTCCCCAGCTCCCGAGATGTGTTGGGCTAGAACTCCTATCAGTCCCCCCCCCCCCCCCCAGCACGTTGTAGCAGACGGTGGTGGAAATTGTAGTTCAAGACATATGACGGCTCTCAGGTGAGAGAACGCTCGGCTAAACTTTTGTGGTTTACAGTCCAGCTCATCAGATGTGTTGACCAAATGGTCCGTGTCTTGCTGTGTGTTTGCACAAAATACACAACAGGGGAAGTTTTTCTTTTCAAAGATTTATTCTTGAGAATAAGCGGCTACCAAGCAATTGTTCCAGAGGGCGCACCTGAGCAGTCCTCGTTTTGCCCTTTTATACATTGCTCATTAAAGGGTTACATGTAACACAGTTAACACCTTCCAATAGGTTATAAAAGAGTTGCAATGGCATGACCTTTCCTGCTTGCATACCAAAGAAGATGCTCCGAAGGAGTGGGGAGGATGGGCCATTTTTCTAGGGAAGAAGAGGAGAAAGGTGTGGGTTGCTGTGAATTGCCCTTTGTCTGAGCTGGTGTTACCTGTCAAGTGCAACTAGCTGTCTCTGGAATGGCACCTGGTTAGTGTCGACTACGTTTCAAGGATGCACACATGCTGATTTCTAGAAAAAAGGGTTTTTCTCTGACTGTGTCAATGATTGCATGAATATACCTGTATAAGATATACCTATTGATTTGTACATCAGATGCGTCAAATACCTGAATTCACACTGTGTAGACTGTAAACCAGTGTGGTGTAGTAGTTAAGAGTGTGGGACTGGGACTCAGATGATCTGGGTTATAGTCCCCACTCAGCCATGGAGCCAACTGGGTGACTTTGGGCTAGTCACAGACTCTCAGCCCAACCTACCTCACAGGGTGGTTGTTGTGGGGATAAGATGGAGGAGGAGAATGATGTAAGCTGCCTTGAGCCCTTTACAGGAAAAAGGCAGGATATAAATCGAAAAATAAATAAGTAAATAAGTAAACAGTGGGAAAGGAAATGCAGCAAGAACTAGCAGTGATAATCATGTTACCAACGGTGGCCAATCATAAAATATAAAAAAGCACAGATAGCCATGCTGGTGTGTAATGGGCAAGAATCCACATTTGGACAATATTAGGACTGAGCAAGATTTCACAAAAATGTGCACAATGTCTATTCACCAGAACCCTTCATTAGGTCAGATGGTGTAAGAACTACCGACCTTGTGGCCACTGCATTTCGAACCTTTCTGCCTCCCCCCATCCCCTCTCAACTTATTTCATTTTTATACCACCCAATAATCAAATTCCAATACATCACTTCTAGGCAGGGAAGGAATAGAACTTGCTGAGAATGATCAACGTGATTGATGTCTGCCTGCCTACCCTCTGGGGGCTGGCACTATATCAGCCTTGCCCAACCTGGTGCCCTCCAGAAATGTTAGAGTAATAACCCAACTCCTGACCATTGTCCATGCTAGATGGAACTGAAGGGAATTAAAGTCCAAAACATCTGGAGGGCACCAGGTTGGGCAAGGATGTACTATCTGGAATGTTTCCCAGGAGCAACAGAAGCTTATCATGAACTCCTTTCTTCGGATAAAAGATGCTGCCTCCACGGCTGCCATAATATCCTGAATTTTTCCTTCATTGTCCCTCCCCCAGTGCTGTTGTTGCTTTTATTCTGCTTATAAGGACGAGAGAGAGAGAGAGAGAGAGAGAACATGACATCAAAAATAATTTGAAGCATATGGGAAGTCTTTAATGCCCTTCTAGTTATATTGAAAAACATTGCTTGAGCTGCTTAAACAGTTTTAAATTACGTATTTTGAAGTGATTTTTATTGTATTGTAGCTTTAGGATTTTTTAAATGAATTGTTGTGAACCATCCAGGCAGCTTTGACTATTGAACGGTACAGGGCTAGTAAACAAAGGAACGATCCAAAGGAGAAAAAATTTCCAAGTGTCTGAAATGAACCCGGTAAATTCAAGCAGCGCTTTCCCTTTCTGCCTCTTACACATCGCCAGGGCGCGACTATAGCACCGCCTCTAAGCTGCAACTTACAACGCTGGAGCCAATCAGCGTCGCGTATGCGTATGTCCCGCCCACACAGGTGTTAGCTGCCATGCGGCGCAGCTGCTGAAGGACTGAGGCGGGTGTTGGTTTGGAACTCCAGAGCGCGCCTGTCCGCACACTTGGGAACGAGGCACGTTGCGTGTTTGTATTTTAATAGTCTGAACAGGCGTTTGGGGTGGAAGGACTGAGGAATCCAGTTTTAGGTGTGTTTTTTGCCGTGGGGAAAAGTTTGGTGAAACTGGTCTGGAATTTGCCTCCTTTGGGCTACTGAGAGAGGAGGGGAAAAATTCGTTTCCTGGGTTTCAGTTAATAGGAGACCTTGAAAACTGTTGTCCTGAGGTTCTTGTTTGGTGAGGGAGAAAGGAGTTAGCCCTGCTACTTCTTCTCTCATCTAAGCAGAAAAGCCCCAGCTTTCTCTAAAAGCTTGGAAATTGTGATCACCCCCCACTTGCAGTGAAACTCGTGGGAGCATGTGCTTCCTGGTCTCCCTTGCCAAAGATCATGGCCTGTTTTGTTTTCTGTAACTTGCCCAAGGCTGCACGTTTGTGAATGCCTGTCGTTGTTGTGGGGGAGGGGGGCATGGTTGTGTTAGTCTGCTTGTACAGCTATAGTTGTAGACTTTGCAAGTATGCAGGTTGATAAGAAAACTGATCTGGTGTCTATTTGATGTATTGATGGGGAAGTATATCTGTAATCAAATGTAGAATTAAATGATCAACTTATTTTCTCTTTTCTGTTTCAATCAGCAATATGGCAGAGGCAAGGGGCCCTGCTCACCTTTTTGATGTCTGTAACCAAAAGTTCTCAGAATTCCTCTTCAATGCTGAACATAAATGCTTGGTGTGGCTGCGGGAAATTGAGGAGGAGGCCCTGAAGATGTTTAGTAGGTAGGCCTAGACTTTGGAAAGGGGTTCCTTGCATCCTTTGGAGCTATTCAAAACTGATAAATTCCCTCTGATCAACTGCTAGTGCTGTAATGTATCTTGTTTGCAGCTCATCTTCCTGTAACAAAGAGCAACATACCAAAAACATTGGAAATCAGTTTGCTCAGAGAGTAGCAAAGGGCACAGTTGCTGTCCTCTTCTTCTGGGGAAGAATCCAAGGCTGCCTGTGAGCCGTGCAATTCCCCTGCTGCTGACACACATTGAGACGTTCGGGATTGTCTACATCTGGGAGGGTTTATTGGTTTGAGCCAGTGCAGTGGTTAGAATGCTGGACTGGGGACCCAGGAGATCCTGGTTCTGATCCCCGCTTGATCAGGAAGCTCAGTCTGGTGACTCAAGGCCTGGCACGCACTCCGCACTCTCAGCCTAACCTACTTCACAGGATTGTTGTTGTAAAGATAAAATGGAGTGGAGGGGGGGCTATGTAAACTGTCTTGGATGATCAAGTTGTTACTGGGTTTTTTCAATTACAATTTTTGGAGGGATTTTTTTTTTTTTTTTTTTTTTTGGAGCAGTAACTTCAGTGCTGAGCCTGAGCTGATACCCAAAACACCTTCTCAGAAGAGGTGTCGAAAGAAGAAGCGATCCTTGTCTTTTAAGGATGAAAATAAGGAACAAATGCGAAAAAGGTAGAGCTGCCTACTAATATTTAAGTTTTGTATTCTGGTTCAGTTGAATTGCAAGCAAAGGTCACAGTCGTATATATATCTCTAGATTTTCCTATACAGTGACTTACTTTCAAAGCTTCCCAACAACTGTGTGTGTGTCCCCATATAGTGAGAGGCAGTAATATTCCAGGTGTGTGTGGGTGTGGTGCTTGCTCAGCACTGAATGTTGGCATGTTACTGCCTCCAGGTTTTGCCAGTATATTCTGTCTTCCTGCTGCTTGTGCTTGCCTGCCACCACACCACAGCAAAAACCCTTCTGTTGTTTAAATTATAGATCGCTGCATATAGAAACACAGAAACAGAATGAGTCAGAAGGGGCCTCCCAGGTCATCTAGTCTGATCCCCGGCTCCAGCCGGCTCTGCTCACAACATGCCCACCATGTGCATGTGCAACCTGTCTTTGAACACCTTCACCAGTGATGCCTCAACGACCTCCCGTGGAAGCCCATTCCACACCCTCGGGGTCCTTACTGTCAGGAAATGCTTCCTGGCATCCAAATGGAACCTTGGCTCCCTGAGCTTTGCTTCGTTGGAGTGCGTCCTGCCTTCCTCTGCAGGGGAGAACAGATCTCTACCCACCTCCATGTGACATCCCCTCACATGCCTGTATGTCACCAACAAATCCCCTCTGAGTCTCCTCCAGGCTGAAGAGACCCAATTCCCTCAGTCTTGCCTCATACGGCATCCCCTGCAAACCAGCCTCCAACCTTGTGGCCCTATGCTGGAAGTATATGATTTATACTTGGGCAAAAAAGAAGATCAGAACTGGAAAGAAACTAAGCTTGCTGCACTATATTCTGTGCCTGGCAAAATGTGCAAGACACGCTGGTCAAGGGAGGGTGTAAAAACTGATATTTTTAATATATTTAACATTTCTCCCATATCTCCAGCTATTCAAAGAGTTTGTATTACACAGCAACAATGACAGCTATAAGGGTTTAATCCCATAAAGAGAGATACCGGATTTCTTTGATTTCAGTGAATATATGCCCACCTATGATGGATCAGTTTGTAAATGTTCATCCCTACACATTTTTAATCTTTCTGGTTGCTACTTCATTTCTCTACTGCCCAACAGCAAAAACTCTCTGGGTAGTTCCCAACAATTCAACACTGTTAACATTGACTATGAAAAATTATGCCTGTAACAGTGCTGCTTAGCCTGTGCAAACCATTATTTCAAGGGCTGTCAGATCTGTAGGTTCAGTATAAGCTCCATCCAGCTATTGTCTGAATCCCCTGTTACTGCTGAGCAGACATCAGGAAACTCATAATAGAGGCAAGCAATGCATAGTTTGTGTTTTGGTTGTATGGACAAAACTGGAGGCCGTTGACAATATTTTGGCAATTTATTTCCGAGTGCAAGTGGTTCACTTTTGCTAAATGTCTTTCTGTCCTGGTTTCCGGATTGATATACACTTGCAACCAAAGAGGAACCCAACGATAGGGAACTTGGCTAGTTCAGCAGGTGAGAGATAGGATTAAATCTCACAGTGCAAATGTCTGTTAACTTGTGGGTTAGTATTCTTATTAGGAACTTATTTGTGCATATATATATTTCTATATCTACCCAACTGGGAGTGTTCAGTGCTGATGTCATAAGTAGAGTTTATGCAGTGGATTATACACTTAAAATGAAAACCTTGGTTGGCTTAAATAGTACTTGCTGGTCTGACAGATTTCCCAGGAACACCCATAGCAACAGCAAGGGGTACTGACACAGCTCCGGAAGTTATTTATTCTAGCACAGGATACTGTAACTCACATTACAGTGGTAGTGTTGCGTTGGATAGGGTCCATTCAGTTCATCCAAGAGGATCGAGGCACTTATTTAAGTGCAAGCAGCCCAATCTTATGCATGTTTACTTGTAATTTCCACTTTGTCCAATTTGGCTTGCTCCCAAATTAGCACGCTCATTCTACCATGTTGCAACCAGCACACATGCAGGTGAATGCTCACTTGACTATTCATATGGTGGACACAAAACGTGGCCATACCCAGTGCCAGGCACTGAAAATGCCACTAAATATGCTACAGAGAAACTTTTAGAGAAAATAAACAATTGGTGTGACTGCATTGGAAGTGAGCTTTAGGAAATAGCTCACTGGAACATTTTTGCAGACTCTGATACCACCTGGTGGCTTGAGGTGAAATGATCTGAGAGAATGAGATGATTCGTTGTTTGCTCCTTTTAGACTATCTAGAAGAAGAAGTAGTGTAAAGACAGCATCTTTTCAGAGATTTTCTGCAAGCAAAGAGGGACTGAAGAACTTTGATATGGGAATAGCAGTAACTACAGCTGATCTCATGATGAGCTCTGCTAAGGAACCTTCAGAAACACAGAACAACACAGTTATAACCCCAAGAGGAGAAGAAGCACTTGGAACTGACTGTAGCCAAGAAACTGAAATAAAAGGAAAGAGGAATGAGGGGGTGCTTGCGGGCCCTGAAACTGTCCCTATGTGTTCAGGTGGCCATTTGCTTGATGGACCTGGGGCTACAGAGATGGCAGGTGTAGCAAATGGTTCTCCAGTGATTCTCTCAGACACCCTTGATCCAGCAAAGACAGTAAAAGACTGGAGTGCCTCCAGAGTAATGCGTACTTCCACTCCAAAAGCACTGCTAAATGGGATGCCTACATGTCAAGGAGAAGAGATTCCTACACAAGAATTAGATAATAATTTGGTGCCAGAGGATTGGGTCTCAGAAGAATTAAAGGACAGCATTAGAATCTCTGTAGGTTCCCAATCAGGCTGTCGCCGTTCAAATAGACCCCCTAGGAACAGGAGTATATCACTTGTGGAGAAGTACTCATTGTCCAACAAGAGGAAGAGTGCCATTCGCAAATCCATCAGCAGGACAATTGCGAGGAAGAAAGCGGCTCATGACTCCTCATCTGCTTCTAGTCGAGTTAGCTGTAAGTAAAAGCAACTGAGTACTGTCCTAGGTACTGAGACAAGTCCTCTAGGCTGTCAGTTTATAATCTTAGTTTGTGACATGTGGGAAAGAAGTAGGCATTGGCAGTGTGCTGTTTCGAATTGAATTTCAATTAGTTAATGGCTGATAAATATCCCTTGTTTACTGTCTGCTTTTTTTATGTAGACCAGAAACTGTCCTGACAAGAACACTACTCCTTTTTATAGTGGCAACTCCCCGCTCGCATTTGCCCAGCTGCCTGCCACTACGATAAAACCAACTGTAAACTGTAGCTGCTTCTTGCACAGTGAAAGTGCTTGTTGAAGAAAAGTAGAAAATGAGTTTATAGCTGGTGCAGATTCGATGGAATTTGGTGATTCTGTGTAATTAGTACAGGATAAGTTCCAGTGACTGAAACAGAACTCACTCCTAAGTGTGTTTAAGGCTTAGATTGATAGTTGGTAGTGAAAAGGTGTTCTGCTGGTTATAACTGGAATGGGGGCGGGTGGGCCATGGCAGCATGGAAACTTTAACAACTAGGTGAGCTCATGAACTGGACCGCTTACTCTTACCTGGCTGAAATAAATTAATTCTTAAAAGAAGAATACTATGAATTTTGGGTACCTAGTACTTGCTTCCCAAATAATTTGTGTGGGGTATTGTTGAATATTTTTCACAGAAATGACAGGTAGCAGGTAACTCTTCAAGCCAAGGAGCAACACATCATCAGCAAATGTAAAGGACAGGTGGACCTCTCCCTACTGCAGCTCAAATCCTCTATTTGAAAGGGTTGCTGCCTTATATCAAACTGTCTACCTGCTGCCAAGTTAAAAATAAAACCTTGACTTTATCGACCAGTGTATTTCCTGTGTCAGAAAGCTTGATATAGTAAGTTTTGGTGGCTTGTGTTCCATATCAAGTAAATGGGGTTTGTACCTGTCACAGATCTCTTTTTAAAAATTTCCTTCCTGGAAAATTATATATCACCATCATATTGAAGCAGCACGAGTTTGGCTTGCTTGCTTGTACTGCAGACTTAAACAATTACAGGAGTCGGCATACTGAAAATTGTCACCAATAAGAAAGGAAATCTGCCTTTTGTGCCAAACTGGCTGAACAAAGGTACCAGAGTGAAAGACCAGCCCTGCCTGTGCATAGCAGCCATCATGACCAAACTTGGACTTTCAGTAACAACATAGTTCTGTATGGAAATTAGCTGATAGCAAGAGTTTTTGCATGGCTTTAAAGCACTGCATCTCAAAACCTACATATAGGTACAGCAAATTTCTAGATGTATATTCAGCAAGTCAGCTGCTTGAACAATAAATCAATTGAAACCCTGGCTTGACATTGTAGGCAAGTTCTGAGACCTATAAACTAAGGCAATTATGAAGCAGAGATGGTGTGTGCAAAAAAGTATAGCCACTGATCAAAAGGAAATCCAAATGATCGGGGGCTAGATAAGTTGAAGTGAATGTGTGGAAAAGTTCAGAGGGTCTCATGATTGCCTCATGATTTAGCTTATGTGATTGCATTTACAGGTGGATACTTAAAATGCTAGACTAAATGCAAATATCTTTGAACTGGAAATCATATGGGATTCACATCATATGAAGTTGGAGTATTGAGTTGCTTAACTACCCAGAAATTGCTGCTTTGTTTTGGTAGACATTTAGGATTCAGCTGGATGTTTCAAATGACATCTACCCTAAAGTTTACTGAGAGCTGCTGTCAGATACGGCTTTCTCACATCATGTTCTCTTTTCCACTGCCACCTTGTGGCGTGAAGTTACACGAGCTACCATTAAAAGCCTAGGGAACACACAATGTGTAGTAATACGTGCAGGTGTGGTGCATTCTCTGCCCCACTAGTGGCAGACAGTAATAGGGGATAGGGAGATGTACACCTCTTACTGTCACCACTGAAGGTACATCATGCTTTGTTAAAGAACTGAGAACTCTGCATGCAAATACAATTTTTGACAACAGCTGCATCACATTCCTGGTATGTAGTGCTATCTGTTCAACTGATGCTTTGCTTTAACTTTCATTCTCCAGGCCATAGTTCCGTTGAAGTATTTATGGATGATGAAACCAGCAAATTAGGGTGAGCAAGCTCTACGAAATATACAGAAATCCCAAACGTTCTTTCTGGCTGCAGCTTTGTGCATGTTTACGCAGTGGTAAGCCCCACTACAAATATAGTTGGACTGACTCATACATCAACATGCATAGGATTGTGTTATCAGCTGAGCTTTGAATTTGCAGCTTGTTACCCTCTTATTTAGCTTGTATCCTGTCTTTTCATCAGATAGCTAATAAAATTACCATTGCACAAAATTGTTCACAAAATTCAGTTGAGAGTCTGAACATATATCCTTTTAATGGAAGATGCAGTTTTCCAAATTAGCTCAGAGCTGGGGAGGACATTGTTCAAAACTTCATTTGAAGCTGTGGTTTGTAGACCACCACCAAAATGGAGTGTAGGTCCTTATTCTGAGAAAGGCTCAAAACCTCCAGTTTAAAGTTATGCTGTCAAAACCACCAGTGTAAAGTTATTCCCTGTGCAGCATAAACAACAGCACGTTTAGTGCTGAGGGTGTAATAGAGTCACTGTGGCATGGCGGTCAGCATGTTAGACTGGGGACCCAGGTTTTAGTCTCCACTCAGCCACTGGGTGACTTTGGGGGGGTCACTAACTCTTAGCATAATCTACCTCGCAGAGAGTAGTTATGAGGCCAAACTGGAACTGAGATGGACTGTGAAAGCCACCTTGGGTTCCTCATAAGAGAAGAATGTAAATGTCATGATGACGACGACGACAACAACAACATGATGCTCTTTTATCAGCTTTGCTATATTTCCTCAGTTGCTTTGGCTAGCCTATAAATTGCACTTCTGAAGTGCCTAAAGACCTTAATCAGATTGTAAGGCTGTTGCTTTGGTCTTGGTTTGGATGGGTAACAGTTTGTCAAATGCCTCTCTTTAGGCCTTTGTTGGCACAGAGTGCTGAATCTGGTGAGGTAAGCTCTGGCTGAGGTTTCCACTGGGTTACACTTGGTGAACAGCCTGCTGGCTGCCTTGCAGCTGCTTGAATTCTGTTCAAGATCCCTCAGCACTTCTAAGAATTTATCACTTGGCTCTATTTTACCAGTTACTTGCCATGTAACGATCACTGGTGATAGATTCTTCGCATTAAATATTGAATTTAACCTGGACCTGTGCAGAGCTAGATGTGCCAAAGCCCATTGAAACCAATCTGGTCAGCTGCATGGACTTGCACAGGGTCTTATGGGCAGAGAAGGGACCAGGCATGGGATACGGGGCTCTTGGATCTGGGTTCAACTCTGCTTCTTTGCATGATTTGGGTGTGTTGTTTGGGAAGTAGTTCTGTTTGACACCTCCTTTTCTGCTTGTCTTTGTCTTTTGTGTTGGATCTGTCTTGTAAAAGTAACCCATTGCAGGGGCTTTAGGACTATGTCAAGGTGACCCATCAGCCATTTTGCATCAGAACCGGCAGTGTCTGCCTTAGCTAATGCAAGTAATTCAGTCTATAACCACCATCATTGTTGTCACATGCTGTCAAGTCATCTCCAGCATAGGGCATCCCTATGAACAGATGCCCTCTAAAATGCTCCATCCTTGGCAGCCCTGCGCAGCTACTGAAAGCAACCACCAGCATTAGCAGAGCCAAATGAAAGCAAAAAAAAAACCTCTGCAAGGCTGACGGCCAAACTGAGCCAGTGATATCCATTTTTCGGGGCAGCTCCTATCTTCTAGCACCCAAAGTGGTGGCTGGAATGCCAATGGAGTCGCTTTGGGTAGGCACATGAGACCAGCTCTCTGATGTTGGATCAATTAACTTTGGTGCCTTTGTGTTTGTCTTAATATCCAGTCATGTGCCTGGGAGACTGGATATGGGGTCGGAGGCCCCAGTTAATGTGGGTACAGGTAGTGATGTCATTGGGATGAAGAATGCAGGGCCGTCTTAATGCGTGGGCCTGATGGGCACTTGCCCGTGGGCTCCATACTAATCTGTGTATGTTAACCCTTCATTTTTACATTTGTATTCCTGTGAGTAGTTGTCACAGGGCCATAGCACACTGCTTTGCCTGGGGCCCATAATGTTGTTAAGACGGCCCTAGAAGAATGGCCAGGTTAGGGAGCACAGCCCAGACAGTTGGCAACCGTGTCACGTTCTGGCACAGAACCCTGCCACCCAGATTCCTATTGACCACAGCAGCTGCCTCCCTCTAGCCCTCAAGTTTTGCCTGATGCTGAATCAAGCACCCCAGTGGGCACAGCTGGGGAAGGCTGCCTGCCCCCACCCCCACTCACTCATCCAGGTGTGCCCACTGGGTCACGTGTATTCATGAGCAGTGAGGGTGGCAAAGAAAAGCCATTCACTGCCTCTGTAGAATCCTTTTTATTGCAGTTCAGGGTTGTCCAGGCCCTACTGAATGCTGGCATAAAGCAAAATGCCTTTTTCAAAGCAAGCTGTGCCTCCATGTGAGAGCCAGTTTATATGGCTAGCCTGAATCCTTAGCCCTGATAGGGGAGTATTTGAATATGCAGTCCCATCAGCTGACATGAATGCATGAAGGCACATTCACAGGAAAACACCAGTCCATGACAGCATTACAGTCCAACTTTAGGCTGCAGTTCTACGTACTGTATGTGTATTTAGACAGAATGGCTGGCTGAGGAATGCTGTGAGTTATAGGACTTTATCTGTCTGAAAATGCATAGGCTCTCACCAGCATTTGATCTTTTGTTTGTATAATGTGAGCCTGAGACTCCTGTTTTGGGGATTCATCTAGTCCCAAGGGTGTGGCTGGATTCCATCACTAAGTTATATATTGTTACTCCGTACATAAGTAAATTGGAGACCACTTATGGCACTTGCTTTTCAATGAGAAATGCTCATTTTAGCATTCAAGTGGGTCGGACCACATATTATAAGTGAGTCACTTACATGCAAAGCCATAGCAAATATTTCAGTAGATGAATTGTAACTGTTCTTGCATTTGTTTTCTTAGATGGGTACTAATTGCTTCAAGTTTTTCTATCCAGGTAGCGTCTTGAAGCTTGCAGCCATCTTAATGTAGGAGTCTCAAAATTCAAAAATGCTAAGGTCATTTAGACCTCATTTTTCTCCAAGGTACTTAGGGTGGACATGAGTTATGATTCTTGAGTGTTTAGAATCTCTTAGTAAGCTTTTGGAAGGAGCTGTCAAATGCACTTCCTCTAACTAGTAAAAGTTAGCCATGCACCAAGCCTTAATATACCTAAGGTGCCACTGTAACTATGCTAAAACATTATTTTTTCCTGCAGACGCTACAAAAAATGCCTTCTACTTTGGGTGCACCTAATCTGACTGATAGCTGTGCTGTCCAAAGTCCAGATCAACTTCAGATGGAACAAGGAGAAGTGTGCAGTAAAGGTAAATAATTTAATACAATTAAAGCTGTACAGGCAGCAAAGACTTTTATGAAACAGACAAAGCCCACTCAGACATTGTCATCAGTCCTTGTCATTATTATGGATTTTAACTCATACTCAAGTCACGATTTTTTTCGTTAGAAATTTTATTTATTTGGCTCTTGTTCCTCAGTTTTGAATAAAAGAATTGTCTGGTGTTTTGTTTGTAGTAAGTTAAACTGCTGGTTCTATGGAGAGAGTTTAGTGAATTAGTCCAAAATTTGCATCAAATCCTGGTGCTAGACATGCTAGAATTCTGGTATCTTGCCATTCCAATGGAAAGATGCTTTCAAAAATTCAGCAATACCTGGAATACAGGGTGTGTCTGTGGTATATTTTTCACTTAGGCTTAGTTATCATCTGGGATATGGGGTTTTATGATGCTACAAAACCTCTGTTACTTCACATTTGTCTCATGGAACTAACTCTACCTTCTCTGCAGAGAGACTTGAAACTAAACCTGACTCCCACAGTAGTGATCCTGAAGACTCAGCCCAGAAGACCACTCCCCATGAACAGTCAAAAAATAGTCGGTATGATTTCTTTATTTCTTGGGAAAAGAGAATCTAGAGTGGGCCTCCTTACTTTTTAGGTTTGGTTTAATACACATCTGTTTCCAATCAGTGCATTACTAAAAAGATTTCTCTTGTGTTTAGGGACTTGGTGTACAGCACAGCTTAGGAAGGCTTATTTATTTTTTTATACATGTATTTATAGTCTGCCTATAACTGCCAAGGCCTTCCTTATCTTTATTCTGGCAGACAAGTTGGTACAGAATGTTTGTATTAAGGTGAGTAGGCTTAATTAAAAGGCTAACAAACATCTCCCTAAATGAAAGCATGACACACATGACATCCTGAGAGTGCATGGATGAAAGACCTGAGCAGGGAAGGCAGAGAGCCAAAACTGATCTGGTTGCATAGGCAGAATAGCCTACAGGTGGGATGAGCAAAATCAACATGATGAATAAAAAAGAAGGCAGTGCGGTTTGGGTTTAGAGATATTATGCAGGCTTTCGCTTTATCATTCAGAATGGAAGGAACCCACATAGGAAAAGAAAAAGCTCAAAAGGAACACCTAGGCATACAAGGATGGATAACTTGTGGCTCGAAGATGCTTTGGCCTATAATTCCCACGATCTTATGAAATAAAATCAGGAGAGGCAGGAAGCCTGGAGGGTGTCAAGAGAGGTGTCTGTTGGTCACATTAGTATTCATGGGCATCATGTTTTAACCTCAGACCTGGAGCCTCTGGATAAGCACATTCTTCCCAAAATGGGGATAGTTGAGCGATGATACCTGCACAGCCAGTGTTTGTACTTGAGGAACACTAGATTATGGAACTCCTTGGTTCAGGGAAATGGATGTGAGAAACAAAGCTTCCATATAGCCTGAAGTGCCTGATCCTGTCTAATTTTGGAAGTTAAGCAGGGTTGGACCTGGTTAGAATCTGGATGGGTGACCTGAGTGATTGATTCTATGATTATTGTTGTAAACTGACCAGAGAGCTTTGGCTATGAGCAGTACAGAAATGTAATAATAATAAAATAAATTAGTACAGTTGAAAGATAGATCCGATATCAATATAAAATGGTACCACCATTTGGCACATGGTTACACCAAACTATGCTTCCACAGGTCAGCTTTTTGTGTCTGGGGGCCTCAGTCAATTTTAGCTCTCTCAAGTGAGCTCTGGGGGCAGACAGTTTGAAAACCGCTGTTCTAAAGGACTAGCAGCCCACCCTTTCATTTAGGTTGAATAGTTGGAACCTTAAGATCTCTAGCAGCAAGGATAATTAGTGGAGCTGGGTTTACTATGTATATGCTTTCTGCTTGCCCTTAGGAACCAAAGTTATAAGCAAGCACTCAGTAAGCTGCCTTCTGCCCCAGAAACGCAAGATGAAAACTCCACTTCTAGTAACAAAACTCACAAAACTACATTCTCTCCTACAAAAACGGTATTGTCTTCCTCTTCCAAGGTAAGTAAATGCTAAGAGCAACACAGTGTGCTTTTCTGTGTTCATCCATGCTCCAGGCACTAAGAATCTCTCTTCTTTTCTGACAGATCATGCGGCCCTTCAGAAATTTCTTTCAGTCCATGCAGAAGAATCAGCTACTCAAATCCCCTGCCTCTCCAGGTCCCAAACGTAACACTCCCACTAAACCTGCAGCCAAGGTAAGGAGAGTTCCCCCACAACATGTGTGCTTAGGAACAATAGAAACAAACATGCCAGGAATGGTTCTCTACCTGAAGGATTCAAAGTCTGCTGGACAGTGAGCAGAGCAGCCGTAATCCTGTGGTAGAGCACGTACTTTGCTTGCCGTGAGTTCTGGGCCCTCTCTTTGGGTTCTAGGATGGATGTGTGAGGAATATATTTGTGGGGGCAGCCATCCCCATTCGCAAGGCACTCGCCTGGACTTGAGCCCAACATGCTGTGCAAGCAGCGCTGCTTTCCCCCTACATGGGCCGCCACTGCTGCCGGCAGCAGCCAGTGGGAAAGAAGGTTGGTCAACAGGAAAGGCACCTGGTGTGCCTGCCTGCAGCACCCTTTTCAGCATCCTGCAGCTGCTCCAGGCAGGGAAGTTTGTTGGTTGCAAACCGGGGCTTCCTCCTGGCTCAGCTCACATCGCAGGACCAGGCGGACCACGAAAGGAAGTCTGCAGATACCAGAGGGATGGATTCTGAAAGGGTTTGTCCCATCCCTAGTTCTGGGTTCCCTCCTTGGTATCTCTAGTTCAAATATTTTTGTGCAGCAGGGCTCTGACTCCTCTGCTTGAGACCCTGCTGGCAGCTGGAGTAGGCAGCATTGGTCTAGCTGAACTGATGGCCACGCTCAAGGTAAGCCAGGCTATTAGTTCACCTAGTCCAATACGCAAGTCAGTCGCAGATCCAGATTAACCTTGTAATTTTGCAAAGCTTCATAAAATGGCAAGGTGGGAATGGGGGTAAGGTTGCTCTTCTTGTAAATGCAGCCCACTCTCCCTGTCTGCCTTACTGCTTGGAAGGAAACTAGTTGGAAAATGGAGATCAGAATCAGCTAGCAGAAAATTCTTCATCCTGCCTAAATGGTCCTCTTATCTGAAGCATAGCTGAATCACAGGTGTAAAATCAGGTGAAACCCATCAGGTTTTTAACATTTAGGCCCATGTCTGCCATGGGACCAGGGATACTGAACAGCATTAAGGCAGTCATTCGCTTGCTGCTCTTTACTCTTCTGCTTGTAGAAGAAAGAAGCTATTTGCTCAGGCACTGGTGGCATGTGGCACTTTCTCACTCCCCTGTGCTTTGCAGAGGAAGAAAACTGCTATTAAATCGCTGTAGAGTTTAGTAAATAAACCTTGGAGAGGCCTGGAAACTGACTAATCTCTTATTCCTTTCCATGTTTGTCCTACAAAGGGGGAGTTTGTTGTAAGTAACTCTTTTTCTTATTTTGTGGGCTGTGGAACTTGTGCAGTGAATTGTTCAACCACCCCAAATTTGCTGCAACTGTGTCTGGGTCTGCTGGAGGGGCTCTGGGGTTTCCTCTACGTACTGCCTGCCTTCTATCACTTGGCAGCAAAGTTGAGGGGAAATCAGTGGTTGTGGCAGCCTGAGTGCAATCCTAAACTTCCTGTACCTCTTAGGAAAAAGAGCGACAGCGCCTGGAGAGTCTGAGGAAAAAACAAGAAGCAGAACAGCAGAGGAAACAGAAAGTGGAGGAAGAAAAGAGACGACGGTTGGAAGAGATAAAACTGCAAGTCACTGTTTGTATCCACATCTAGATTGGGATTATCCTATGAAGGACAGGGTTTAATTAAAATGAGGTAGACTGATGCAGCTATTGTTGGTGCAGGTTTACAAAGATGGCAGGGCCATCAATGTACATGCCTGGTAGCACTGCAAGTATGTTCCACTTGTATGGAAAATAAGACAAGTGGCACCTGTATATTCCACAGAAAGCGTGAAGAGCGGCTAAGAAAGGCACTGCAAGCAAGGGAACGGGTGGAGCAGATGGAGGAAGAGAAGAAGAAGCGACTAGGACAGAAGTTCTCCCAGCAAGAGGAAAGGAGTGAGAAGGTAAGAAATGGCCCCACTTTCCTACCTTGGCAACTTAATTTTTTTCATGATAATGAGCAGAACATGGATTCCTCTTGGTGTGGAGTGTCCGACACTCAGACATGTGGTTTTTCCTTTTTTTGTAGACTATAAATTCCCAAACTCCATCAAACCGTGAGATTTTGGGGGGCTGACCCAGAGAAGATAGAGGGGCATTCCATGCTCAGACTGAAATGTCCTGGCCCTTCCTACCCACTACACTATAGTCCCCGGCACCCCCTTCATCCATTTCAGGTGGCCCAACAACATTCAGGAGCAGCTTTGGGAGAGGTGGCTCAAGAGGCTGCAGTGGAAATTGGAAGAGTTTGGCAGAGCTGCCTGGTGCAAACAGAAATGCTTGTCTTACACAAGCAGAAGTCTCTTGATCCAGGCCTTTGGATATATGTAACCTTTTAAGGGCTTCCCTTAATTCCCCGACTGGCAGCTACTGTGTCCAGCATGATGCTTTCAGAGCATGTTTCCTGCAGCTATCCTGTGGCTTTTTGATGAGCATAATTTCTCTTCTCCTCCCCTGTTCCTTTTCAGTCTACCTGGAATGGAAAGGGTGGGCAAGAAGGCGAAAGAGAAACTTAAATATGCTGATGGAAGGAGGATCTCTACTCTGGAGAGAAGGAACAAGTAGCAACATGCCATGACAGGAGCACTTGTCCTCTTGTAATTTTGCTCATGGCCCTCTTTCTTGCCCATTTGTGCTTTCTGAGAGGGCATCAAAAGCTGCAAAAGAGGAGAAGGTACCCTTACAAAGGGTTCTCTGCCTGCTTTGGACTGCAGTTCCCTCACCATTGGCTTTGCTGGCCAGGGCTGATGGCAGCTGTAGCCCACCAACATCTGGAGAACCACTCTGTCTGCCTTAACCTGAGCTGTTGAACTCTCCCAGATGTTCATCGCTTACTTTTGCCCACCTTGTGTACAGTGATATGGGCTTATGCACAGTCATTCCTTAGTAGACATGTCTGGTTTTTTGGAAAGCTTGGGACATGCATATCCTCTTGATACTAAAATCTGAGTGGGTTTGGTGAATAATTGAACTTGATGAGGAGTTGCTGCTGAGTTTTGGACTGTAAAATCATAGAGAGCTTCTCCTTACTGGAGGAATTGCCAAAAGTGCATATTAAGAGGCATTGTGAGATGCCAAGTGGTTGGACCTAGATCTGAAATGCAGAGATTCCACATCACCTTTTCCCCACCTCCCAGCCCAGGTGTTTAACCTTTCGAATAATGGTTGGTAAGGCTTCCTAGACTGAGGCCTGGAACTGGACAAGTAGAATTTAAGAGGTCTTTTGGGCAGGTGCGAGAAGAGAAAATGGCAGAGGAAAAGACCAAGAAAAAAATGTCAATTAAGAAAATGGGGGAAGCATATGCCAGAAAACAGAAACTTCTTCAGGTGGTAAGCACTCTATTTAAATTCCAGTAAAAAGCCATACATAATAAAGTGGAATTATCTGGGAAACTTTCTGTACTTTGTGGATGGAAATAGTCAACCTCCTAAGTAACCTTTGATTATAATTCTGAAACCACTTTTGCTTTTAATTGATGAATCAAACTTGCAGATCTCCCTGGAAATAAGAGTTACATGTTAAATAGTTGCTGGCTCAATCCTTTCCAGTAGCAAGGGCATTTCAGAAGAAGTGGTAGAATATTGAAGAATTCTGAATTCATAGCACATAACAACCTCTTGGCTATTGAGGCCACATGGGAGCAAGTGAGGTGCCCCATCATCACTTTTGCTTTGGATCCAGTTGCCATCGCATGCAAACCAGGTAGCTTTTCTTAATCCACCAAAGTGCCTTTGCACATTATTTCCTAGGAAGGGTATGGCCAAGATGGCTGCCATTTTTTGCTGCTCAGAGATAAACGTGGGATCTCCCAGTCCAGGAATTACTTTCTGTGCATCTTGAGGGAATGTTAGAAGAACCACAAACTCTGGTCCTGACTTCATTTCCCATCATGATGAGATCTGAAAATATTGTCTGAACTACTGCCCCTTTTGCTTCTTATAAAAACTATACTACTTTAAGAAGTCTTGTCATTTATATAATTGATCTCCTCAAAAATTATTTAAAACCTGCATATACTTGACACTGGTGACCAACATTGTTCTCACACTGATCCCTTTGAATTTAGTCCTATATGATATGCAAATGGACAACAAACACCCATTATGTACACATCTGGGATACCTGACCATAACTGTACATAAGGAACAGCTAAAACATGGTAGAATAGATTTGTCACTTTGCACTGCACTGCAGGCTCTTGGCATCTCCCACAATTCCTTGCTTTTTATGGAGGGCATTGCTTCACCCTTTTTTTCAGGAAGAAGAGCCAAAGCTCCAGGAGCAGCCAGAAAGATGGAAGACAGTTGGGGAAATTAAGAAAATGTTAGAGCACAAGAGTGCACACCAGGGGAAAGGGTAAGGGCTTTGCTTCCTCACTTACTCCAGTTTAAATGTCCAGAGTCTGGAGAATTGTGAGAGATACAAAAGTCCAGCTTCCAAAACCAAAAAATGAGTCAAATCACTAATGCTAAAATCATACGTAATTTCTGCATTACATTGTGTTGTCACTGGGGAAAGCTACATGATGATGATGCTTTCTGCTACATTGCATTTATGTCCCGTCTTTCTTCCCCTTGTGAGAAGCCCAGGGTAGCTCGCGTATGTAGCTCCCTTTCATCTCAACAACAACCCTGCCAGTTAGGTCAGGCTAATAGTCTACGACTGGCCCAAAGTCACTCAGTTGCTTTATGGCTGAGTGGAGACTACAGCCAAGGTCTTCTAAGTCTCCAGCACAGCATTCTAATCACCACCCCACACTGGCTCTGTAATCTGAAACACACTTGGTACATGGAGATGTGCTACAGTAAACTGCGTTGATACAGTGGGACTTCCTAGCACATATGCACAGAATTGCACTATATGTGTTCTTTGACTATTCTTTCTCTTTTTAGGCACCACGGACAGCAAGATAAAGAGAGACTGATGAAACCTCTGGAGCTGGCAGCTCTTACGGAAGAAGAGGAAAATCTGAAGGTAGGATAAGGAACTGGAAAGTCCAGAATTGAAGTTAGGCTGGACAAACTTGCTAGCAAATATGTATCCAAATTCTTCTCAAAGTCATGCGTTTATCTCCTGTACTACTGGCGGTAAGTGCACAAGCAAGGTTTGTGTGTCAGGTACCACCCTGGGTTTTTAAGGATGGAGGCAGAGGGTTGTTCACTGTACATTTGTCCCTATGAGAAATTGTTTCCACTGTACTGAGTACAATCTCAACCCCAAACCACAAGTTGGCATTACCAGTTTCTTTGTTACACTGTGAAATTATGGTTGTCTCTGTCCTACTTAAGCAAAATGGAAATGTAACCAGAAGAAAGGTGGTGGTCACAATTATACCTTCTTAGTGCACAAACGGCAATTGTGACAGCAGAGTGAGAGGTTAATACTGGATTTCTGTGTCTGTGCATTTTTTGAGCTTGATAACAAGAAAGCATTTGAAAACTCAATGGTAGCACTCCGTAATGGAGGTCTAAGGGGACGCTCTGAATTCGGGGAGGCTGTTGGCTTTTGTGTCAGTGGGGTGACTCACCCATTGGAGCTTTACAGGAGCTGTCTGTTCTGCTCAACTTTATTCCCCAAATACGTTCAACACCATGGACTCTTATCTCCTTAAAAGATCACTCTTGTTGCATTTGGGTGCAGAGACTATCATGCTTAGCTGGGTGAAATCAAGGAACATTGTAAGAATGCTTGGCTAAAACTGGTCTTGCTAATAGGAGGGACAAAATCCTAACCTTGCGGAACAGCCACAGAAGAAAAAGCAAGCTGTACATGTGGAAGAAGTTCCTGCTGTGAGTAAATGGCTGAACATCACTGCCCAGGTGAGTGGTAGGAGTTTTCAGTCTTCTCCAGAAAGATGAGAATTTAATCAGGATATTGCAGCCTGTAGTCAAATATTCAGGCTGAGAATAGGAACGTGATGTAATGTCCCCTGGCATGTACACTTATCACAATGCCTGCACTTGGTTTTTTCATTCAAGTATCTTCTCTCTCTCTGCTGCCAGCAGGCCTGCACATTCCAGTAATCTGCCCTCCAGCCCACCCTTTTGCTTGCAAGAGTCAGTGCTCAGGAATAGGGCAGTGCTTACTAAATCGTGATTATGCTTCTGGGATTTTGCATACCTGTCAGTTACAGTGTGGATCAAGGTGCAGAGATGCCCCAAGCGGCCCTGTTTCCCCAGCCATCAGTCACGTGGTAGTTTTCCTGCTTTTATGCTAAAATATGCTGGGGGTTTTTTTAGTGCCTCCACCCTTTTACCTTTTACCCTCTGCTTCAGCCATACCCAGCATGGGCATGTGGGTTCCCAAGAGCTTCTCCAGAATGGGATTTGGTCCCCAACCCGACGTCCCTGGTGTAGGCAGTTGCAGTCTGCTGTACCCCTCAAAATGCCAGTGGCCGTGCACTGAGGTTATTGCAGACCATGGGCAGACAATCTGCAGGATGCCTTCCTTAAAGAACCCTTTTATTTCCCTTCCCCCAAGACATGTCCCGGCTCCTCTCTGTTTGGCAAGAGCTGACATAGGACCTTGAGTGGGTTCGGTGACCCAGATTCTGCAGCAAGCACTCCCCGAGACTGCAGGCACTTCTTACTGGAAGGAGGCAATGCATCCAAGACAGCAGGGGTTCCTTACTTAAATCCTCTGTGGGGATGCAGCGGGGGATCTCCTGCAGTTGTTTGTGGTGTGATCAGTCCTGGGGAATTATCACCAGTTGCAGTACTGGGGAATGATCACAAGAGGGCAGAAGAATCTGATGGTTGAAATGCGGTGCTACTGTATTGGAGGGAGACCCTGCCATATTTGCACTGGGTATGAACATGTAGAGAATAACATGTATGTACTAGTACCACATGCACAGTACTTCCAGGGACCGTATTGTACAAAATCTAATGCCATAATAAAAATGTTATTCCTTAAGGTGTTGCAGAAATCCTTGCTGCAACAGAGCAGTTCACCTGTCCCTTTGGAATTTCCCTTGCTCTGTCCCCCCCCCCCCCATTGGTTTTGCTGTTCTATTTAGTTTAGCAGAAATTGGGGTGGGCTGTTGCACAGTATCTGTGTGCCTTGCAAGCATTCAGCATGACAGCTGCAGGTAAGGTCATCAGGCGCTACTAATCATGATAACTATATATTATCTCACGAATCTGGGCCTGAATGACAGGTGATGCGAAGGGTGCTGTCGCACTCATGTCTTGCTAATAGATACCCCATGGCTGCTACACCACCCTGGAATTTTTAGGTTTTTTGGTCAGATCCAGCATGGCTCTTAGGTTCTTAGATCCAGCTCACAAAAGCACTCTGTTTGCTGAACGAGAAACAGGCACTAGAAATGCCCATTATTGCTCTACCACGTTGCACATTAGCGCCAGTTCAGAAGTGGCACAGGACTTCCTGCAATGGCAATACTGTGGTGTGTGTGCAGATCTCTTTGGAAGGCCCATCACAACATCTAAGTCTCCCTGAATGTAGAAGGAGTACTAATGTGCCAGAATTTGAGGTATATCTGGCGGGAGTGTGTTTCTGATCCAAGGAAGCATTCTCTGTAAATAGAGCTGTAATGTATGCATGATACCACAAGCACTCATACACAGGCCCTTCTGACACATTCCAACATGTGCAGATGTAAAGGAGCACGTACATGGCAATTGGATTTGATTCTGGCTTCAGGTTTCTTGGTGGTTTAATTCTTGTTGTTGTGGCAGGATTTTTATTTTTCTGTTGTCCAGCATAGCACCTAAACATTTGCAAATGTCTATATTTGTAAACTGATCAAGCTAATTCTTGGCATGCCTCTACTCTTGGGGATAAAATGGAAAGCTACAGATCGAACAGCTAAGTTAGAGTCAGCTAGAGAATAAAAATCTTTCTTTCCATCTATTAGACTGCTTCCTGGGGGAAGACATTTACGAAGCCCTGTTAGTGAAATAATTAACCAAGATCCAGCTTGGTGAACAGACGTGCACTGAAAATGAGAATTATTTGGATGTGATCTCTACTCCAGATTGTTCCACTCAATTAATGCAAAGGAAGAAGAAATAGGATACTTGAATTGAGAGAATTACTGCTGATACTGATACAGGATGGAATGAATAGGATATGTGAGGAATAAATCTGGGGCCAGCCTATGGCCCATAACCAGTTCAGCTATAAAATAGGGAAATTCATTGCTGAAACAATGTTTGTTTCATTTGTTCTTAAGCTTTACTGTTACAAAGAGAAAAATTCAACAGCTTGATTAACACACATCTGGTGTACAGTACCCAATAGTTCTGCAGAGTTGTAGCATAAGTAGTTGCCATTTTTGTGCTAACACTTGCATAAGTTCAGGAGGTTTGTTTGGCAGGCTGCATGCAAAACCACTAGTGTTGTCAGTATCTACCTTAAATAACAGGTAAGTGCCTACCTACCTGTTCAAAGGGCTGGCATCAGGTGTTCAGGAGGTGGAACGGCTGTTCAGTTGTTATGGAACATGGGTTTTCAGGATATATGTTGCATATGCTTTACAAGGCTTTTTCTCCAACACAAATCGATTAGATGTATGATACTGACTGGGTGGACAAACGTTTCTTGCAAACTCTTGCTAGAGTTCTAAAAGCCAGACATGTTTCTGGTTGTCTTGTGTAAACAACTAGAAGTCTAATGACTTAAGAACAAGCTGAAGTGAATCATTCTATTGCATTCTGCTGTCTCCAGTAAACATGTTTATTCAAATTAGCATCCTTCTGCTTCCTGAATGCTTGCAGCATGAAAAGTACAGGGCAGCTACTTAGGGCAGCTACTTAAGTGCATCATTAGAACTTGTCTGCCTGTGTTCTGCAGCTTGTTCTTTATTTAAAAGCAAGATTGGGGAAGTCTGTACATCTAACCTAACTATTATGATAACCGGTGAATGGTCAACAACTGATATCAGTTGCAGCTTGAATAATGAAAACAGAGTCTTAAGCATGCAGCCCTGCCATGGCACTTTGTGCAAACCCCGCATAACCTTGCAGTCTCAGAGGGAAAATAAACTGTGGAAGCTTCTTTCCCCTTCCTGTATGTACTGGTCCTCAGCAGCCTAATTAGCATAGTTGCCCTTGTCCAGTATAGGTCAGCATGAATGTCTGAACCCAGCTGGCATGGTTCACAAATAAGCTGGATTCCCTAGAACAAGCTTTGGGTTTCAGGGTGGCTTATTAACCACCCCAGCCACCCATGTTGCTGGGTTCAGAAGTCACAACAACCTGCACCTGGCAAGGATGAGTAGACTAGTTAGGCAGTTCACAGTTGGCATGCATAGGGAGGGAAATAAGGCACCGTGGCTCATTTCCCCCCTGTGGTCATGCAAACCCAGTCTATGGAAGCTGGCACAGTTCATTAGCACAAGGGAGAGGTTCCTTTTCACATGCAGACAAAGGACTGGTGACCAGCAGCCAGCAAAGATGCAGCTCAGCATTGTCCTAGGGAGACTCTGGCTCACTTAAGACCTCTTTGTATTCTTTTCTGTGCCAGGCAAAGACTTTTTTATAATTTTCTCTGTATTTTAACTGTTAGAATGCTTTTAAAATTTTCATCTGATTATAGATTGCTGCTGTTCCTTTTATGTTAATGGGGTTTCTGTAAAGTGTAACATTTGCATGATCTTTACTTGTTTTGCTGTTAGATTTTAATATTGTGCTATTAGTGTTGTTATATATTTCATCTGATTGTATTTCCTTTTTGTAACCCACCTAGACAGCCTTATGGCTAATGGGGTGGGATAAAAATCAAATAAATTTCAGCTACTTAAGATACAATATGTATGGGTGAGCACAATATATACAGATATTCTGAGGTGTCTCTCAAGTCCTCTACTTTACAGTATCTTTAAGTGGCAGCATGTTGGCACAAGCTTGGTTTTGGTACATGATGTAATTGGGCTGCTTTTGCAGCATTTCATCTTTTACTCATTTTTGAAGCTGCCTCAAAGATAGAAAAGCCTCTTCGATCAACTCTGGTCCTCTCACTTCAATTTGCATAGCTGATTCATTTAGTTTCTGTGACTTTGTCACCTGTTTATTTTTCAGACTGTGGTTTTATATTTTCTGTTGTGCTTTTGTATGCCTGGAAACAAATGACAAGTTCACTTGAGTATCTATCTTTCATATTAAATACTCCTAGTATGGAGCTTAGAAGATTTCTATGGTCAGTAATGATCCTGGAATTCACAGCCATAGTGTAAGTTTTTGGTACTTGCAAGACAAGGAGACAAAGGCTTTCCTGGTTTAAATTTTTAAGCAGGTTTAAAATCTGGAAATAGAAGCTGTGTTGCCTCAAAGACTCGTTATTGACAAATTGCTGCACTTATCTATTCTATCTTATCCATGTTTCAGAAGTCTGTTGACAGCCCCAAACATAGGAGCTCCCAAGATTTGAAAGATGCCACATCCCTCAAAGTCAACCTCAATGACTATGGAATGGATTTGAATAGCGATGACTCTACTGATGATGAAAGCCAGCCTCGCAAGCCCATCCCTTTGTGGGCCAATGGTGCGTGTGAGTCTTTAAGGCCAGAAATGCAACATCTGTGGAATTGTAGGGGTCTCCTGTAATTATGTGAGGGTCCCCTGAGACTTCCAGGTGTTGCTTGGTCCATCCTAACATATAAATTGCAAGTGCCTGGGACTTCAGTTAAATTGCAGAACCTGACAGTGGTTCTGGCACCTGCATTCAGTTCAACATGAACTGAAGCCTAACTGGGGCAGAGTATATATCACTGCTGTCTCCTGAAGGGAGAAAAAATGAATTCATTGAGGAGGCAGGGCATTCTTGTATCTGTAGGCTGATACCATGTTCTGGAATGCTGATAGCCAAAACAAAATCCAAGCCCTTGGGATGCTCAGTAGAGAAAGATAAATGGAAAGCAAGAGATACTAGTGATGCTTAGGCTGACGACTCAAGAGCCCTTATTTGTTCTGTTTTATATTACTTCCCTTTTTCATTTCCCCCCTTTTGTCATCTGGCAGATTTGCTTTAATTTCTGTGCCTTTTTCACTGGAATGAGCATTCGACTGCTGGAAAGTTCTTTGATGCCTGCCTGGTGGAGTCCATTTGGTGATTACAGGATATTGTAGGCAGGGAGATGTGTCAATCTGTTAAATGCTGCAACTGAATAAATTTCTGACTGGAGCCTGCTCACAGCTTGGCCTTCACATTCTCTCCTTCATAGAAGTGCTTTAAAGTGGAGTCCTGTTGCTGCTTGAAGGAATATTCACATTTGGCAATGCTTGTTTCCTCAGGCCTTCAGCTTAACGAAGCTGTCACATACCAGTACTACAACCCTCCGGACATCAACAAGTTATTCGGACTCATACTGAGCCCTAAGCTAGAGAATATCTTCTACAAAAGCAAACCCAGGTATTTCAAGCGCACAAGCTCCGCTGTCTGGCAGTCACCACCTCAGCCTGGTACCAAAACAGCTTTGCGTGCTTCCAATAGCATGAAAAAACACTGAGGCTGTATAGAAACGCTCATTGTTGTCACCTGTTTTTGCCTGCCAAAACTCTCCAAGATGCATGTGTAAACCATTTTAATTTGTCATATATTGTGCAATAAAGGTTTAAATGTTGAAAATTTCATGATCTTTTTTTTAATGGCTAAGGTAATTTTGGCCCAAGGTGTTCTATAATTCCCTGAACTGATTAGTTTATGAAAAGAGAAGAAAGTGTAAGAGCAGTAGAAATGTTGCTGAATTTCCATGCAAAATTTGGAGCATGTTGTTGGATTTCTGGTATTATCAGACTCTCTCTTAACTGGAGTTAGCTCGCTGTGCACGAGTGCAGATGCTTCTACCAAATGTTGTGAGTCAGGGAGCAATGGGAGAAATATTAACAGCCAATAGTTTAGCCTAACTAAGCAAGTAAATAATCCCCTTGCTGCTTAGAGGACTGAAGAAGTCAATACGATGGTGCCTTGTATGCCCTGTGTTGTTCTGCAGGGAATGGAAGGGATTTCACTCAAGAAAAGCCCTGATCAGATTCTCTCCTGCCTTTCATAGGCACAGCTGCTTTGCGTGTGTATGTCTCTTAAAAGATAGTCTGATTTCAGTTGTCCTCCCATCCTGCATGTATAGTAACAGTAGTGTGGCATTATTTGTAACTCTTATAGTCTGCTTGTCCAAGCACACAGGTCCCAGTGGGTTGACAGGTACTCATTGTTGCCTGATCCTCTTTCCATATGAACTTATCTGTAAATTACCGATTTCTTCAGAAGCCCTGTTAAGGCTTCTAACCAACAGAAGTTCAGCTGATGGGGATGTAAGATAGGGACTACCCTGTGGAACTACTCCAGTTTCTGGAATTCCTAAGGAGGTGAGATTGGCTCCTTTGCTCAGTTTCAGGCAGGTGGTAAATACATTTTATACTTTTCAAGATTTTAACAGTTCTTAATATGTAATTCGTTTTGCTCCCTGAGGTTTAATGATGGTTTGCCTGTCAATCTGAACAGTTTTCAATTTGCATTGATCTTTCTTTTTTTTTACACTACTGCTTTTGGGAGCCCAGATTGGGCCAGGAGATGGGCTTACAAGTAAAATGAAAAAAACTTAAAAACTTTAAGTAAAAAACTTAAAATGAAGCAAAATGAATTTGTCATTTATTTTTCACTGAAAGCTTTTCTGGAGGAAGCTAACCTTTGGGACTTAAAGTGATAGTAGAATGACACCTCTATTGCAAATTGTTTCCATGACTGTCATAATAACAAAGGATAGGAAGTAATAGCTTACCTTGATAACTAAGAGCTAAAGGTGCTCCTACATCATGTGGAGATCAAAGCAGTTTTTCTGGACCTTTTGGCAGGCACAGCTTGAAGCAGCAGTCAGGTACAGAAAGATTGCTGCCTATTATTGGCCTGTTTCAGATGGGAAAGCCTTAAGATGAGCATCTGAAGCCAAAATAGTAAGACTGAAAGATGACTGTCGTGCTGTGGAATAACTCCATTCTCCATTTATGTAGTTTTGTAGATGGGATAACTTATCGAATCGGTTGTGTCCAACAGCTATTATGCATCATGCATCAGTGAGAGTTCTGAAGCCAGTTTGAAAATAGATACAAGTGGGGGGCTGAAGGAAGAAGTCATTCTTACCTCTCCGCCTCCTTCCCTCTGCTGCGTTCTCCTCTGCCTACCACTGCTTGCCACGCTTAACCTCTTCCCTGCTGCTTGCCTGGTGCCTTTTGTGGAGCCGGCAGTTAAGAGGAACCGGCAAACTACCAGGCCGCAGGCTTCAGGTCAGGGTTGCTGTCTGCTCTCTGGCAGAGATTCACCTGGCTTCCCACCTTTGCCTGACTCACTCAGGACCAGTGCCAATGAGACACCCTCCTGAAGGGGATGGGGACAAGAACATGTGCATGCAGAATCCTCTCCTCAAGCAACTTGCCGGTGTTTGGGAGATCTTGGGCCAGCATAGGCCCCATCTCCTACTTTGTCTGGCCTCCCAATTCACTGCTTGCTTCATCAGTACCCAAGTACCGAAAATTGCCCATGTGTGTAAACGGCCATCCCAGCAACAACCACCCTCACATCTCTATGGTGATTTCTTGCTTAAATCAGGCCCACAAGTCAAAGAAATGTTTATCTCTTGTTTCAGAAGGATCTTGCCCTGTCAGCTCAAATTTGGATATGCTTAAAGACAGAGCCAGAAGCAAGGAAAAGGTGAATCAGTCTCAATGAAAGGAAGTTGATTTGGTAATGAGGGCACTTGGGCAGGAGGATTAGAAATGTGTATTTTGTACAGGGTGGCCTCCCATGTCATTAAGAAAAAACCACTCACATGGTTCTGACTTCATTTTTATATGCATAAACGGAGCCACAGAGGCTCACAGGTAATTTCCACTTAATCTAAATTAAGACGGCAGATGCTGGGTCAAGGCTGATGGAATGTGTTTCCTTATTATTTATTACATTCACCATTTTTGGTGAGCAACTAAAGTGCACACGTCTGATGTGATTGAAATGGTCATGAATTGTAATTGCCCTGCCTGGGGAAAGTCCTGATTCTCACTTCCTGCCTTTGCACTGATTGCTAAACCTTTCATCCTCCTTTCGTCACTTGGGCCATAATCCAGGCTTCTCTCTGTGGAATGGAGCAAACCCTGGTGGCAGAAGTCGCTCCTTAGTATGTCTGCCCTCCTCTGCTTAGAGTGACAGGGCACCCAAGCAAGTTTCAGCTGTATTTAGGTCGACGGTCTTTCTACTGGAATATTAGGTTCATTGCCCCTGAAAAAGTCCTGCTCCAACTTCTGGATAATCTGTTCAAGCCCACCATTTTATCTATTCTACCAGCCACGCTGGCTTTTTCTGATGTCCTCGTGGAGAGGTGTCCTGTCGTCTTCCCCTTGGAGCCACTGTGAAAAGGATATCCTCAGTCTCCTTGGGGTTGGCATGGCTTGCTGAAAAAGAAACAAAAATTCTTTTTCTTGTAAGCTGCCTTGAGACTTTGGTAGGAGGCATCATAGAAATGGAAATATAAATAAATAATGACATTTGTATGGTCACAAGATTTTAATGGTTCTACAACTTTCCCTAACCCGATTCCCTCCAGAAGTGTCTGACTGCAACTCCTATAATCCCCAGCTCAAGCAAGTGTCTGAAGTGTGGATTGTATTTTCTTCAACTAGCTGCAGCTTGCCAAACAGTGTTGCTGCCTAAACTCCACCGTGGTTCTGTTTCCTGGTGATGGTAATTATAGAAGTTAAGTAATTGCTTCTGTGCACGTATTACCCGAGGCAGCGCCAGAGCATTAATACTTAGCAGCATCCTTAGTGACCGACCAAGAAGATAATTGGGTTTGTCAGCTCAATAATGCAGTGAATGACAAATACTTTCTGATAAAAATGAAGTTTTGTGATAGATACTGACATGGGAAGCAATGAATAAGTAGCTGGGTGTTCCTACTCAGAAGCTTGGATAGGTGTACAGTAAGACTGGCTTGAGTCATATCTTGGAAAAGCCTGAAAAGCTATAAATTTTTATTAAAGATACACGTTTAAAGCTGTTCCTTCTGATGGAATCATGGGATCTGTTGGACATTAGAGGAAAAAATCAGGAGCTTTCCAACTTGATGCCTACAACTCTTAGTTTTCCTCTGAAGTGCCTCAGGAATTCCTTTGTGAGAAAATCTGTAACTGCAGACAAGCACAGCGTCAGGAAAAGCTCATCCATTGTTAAAGACTGACCTTGCAAGGTGCAGCAAACCAGGGAAGGACTGGGCATTCACTAAGAATGGAGCACTGTTGAGGCCTAACAGGTTTCCCTGTGTGGGGAGCCAATATACACCCTATTTATTTAACGGATTTTTATCCTGCTTCAGGGTAAGCACTTACAAGAAAGTTTACAATAAAACGTTAAGAAAAGAACATCTGGAGAAATGTAGGGAAACACTAGAATTGTACGGTGCTTGTGGGCTCACAGGACCCACTGCCTGCTGAGGGGAGGGGGGCACATTTATTGTTCTAAAGGTAACCCGAAATGAACTAAAATGCTCATTTCCTGAATGGAACAGGTCAGTGGAACTCTCAGAAGGTTGCTCTGCTGAGCTGCTGAGGGGTTAACTGCAGAACTGCAAAAGCCTCCAAGCAAGCAGTGGCCCCCTGAGTTGAAGGTGGAGTGGCCCCACTGAATATTGTAGGGTGAATCACTCACACAAAAAGGACATAAAGGTAAAGGTTTCCCCTTGACGTGAAGTCCAGTCATGCTTGACTCTAGGGGGCGGTGCTCATCTCCGTTTCCTGGCCGAGGGAGCCAGCATTTGTCTGCAGACAGTCTCCGTGGTCATGTGGCCAGCATGACTAAACACCAAGGTGCATGGAACGCTGTTAACTGCCCACCGAAGTGGTACCTGCTTATCTACTTGCACTTGCATGCTTTTGAACTGCAAGGTTGGCAGGAGCTGGGACGGAGCAACAGGAACTCACTCCATTGTGCAGATTTGAACTGGCGACCTTTCGATCAACCAGCCCAGCAGCACAGCGGTTTAAACCACTGCACTACCTGCAGTCCTCAAAAAGGACATATTCAGCCACAAAAAGAGGCTGTCAAGTGCGTAAATTGTATATGAAATGGTTTATATGCCTAGATACAGATTTAGAAATAATTGTCTTAATTATATAGAAATACAATACACCTCTCCATAGTGGGGAAGATGGTGACCTCTGTGCATTGCTCAGTCTGCTGTCCAAAGCTCGGCTCTTCCTTCTAAGGGTTATTTATCCTTGACACAGCCGGGACAGTCTTCAGCTACAGCATGCCTTTCCAACTGTCCTCTGGTATCATTTCCAACAGAGGACTTTCCTCTGCAAAAGAGGATGCCTGACCACTTTAGTTATTTAGGGTCAGATTAAGGTTGTAAGAGGGCTCCTTGTTGCTGCTCCGTTCTTAACTCATGAAAGCTTATGTCACAGTATACTAAGAAGGATGTTGAGATTTTTAAGAATAATGGTATTTAAGAAGTTATTTAAATAAATATGATTTATTGCACTTCTATATTGTCCCATAGCCTGAAGGCTCTCTAGGCAGTTTATAAGTTTGAAACACATATAAACAACCATTAATATAATCATTGAAATAAAATAATAAACAAT